TGTGGGCTCTGGGCCCCAAAATCATCGTGGTAACTGTGCGGTTTGTTTGGGGAACAACTGATACCCGTGTGCCAGACACCAATTCATCTACAGCTGGCCCTGAACTGTGAGGGTTAGGGGCACGTGAGTCTGCCCTCTGTGTCCGTGAATGTGCACGGTGCCTGGCACATGTGGGGGTGGGGGCTTATTGTCTGGCCGCCCACACCAGAGAAGCCCTCTCCCCGCAGGCACACACCTCTGCTTCCGGCAGATGGACAGGTACAGGTACAGGAAGGCCAGCACGGCCAGGCGCTCTCGGTCGGCACAGTCCTCAGGGAGGCCCGCAACCTCCTTCAGCTTCTCCACTTTCTCTGTGATGTCGCCGCGCTCTGTCACACAGCAAACAGGACACACGGATGGTGAGACTCAGCCGCTCTCACAGACAACAGGACACAAAGAGCTGCTGGGCACAGCGCCCGGGGCCCAGATGGACACGGCTCATGTCCGAGCCCCGCGGCTGCCTCTGCCGGCGGCTGTGGGCTCCGGAGGCGGGGGCTGGGGGCTGGCTCCTGCCTGGGAGACTCCCTGGCGTCCTGGCCTTGAGCCTGCGCCTTAGCCCTCTGAACCTGGGCCCTCCTTGGTAAACGGGGACAGCACACCTCCTCACAAGTGTCATGCAGTAAAGTGCAACGAGGCACACGACTCCTTCACGCAGCTCCTGGCACGTCGAAGTGCTAGTTAACAGTTTCAAACACACACGTGCACAAGAGAAATGGATGCTAGCTCAAGCGCAGAGGCCCGGGTTTGACCTCCACTGCCCGGAACCAGCTCCAGAGGCTATGTCACATGACTCCCCAAATCCTCCCCTCTCCGGGAACACAATTAGGAGAGCAGGACTCAAATAAAACCCCTGAACGCGGACCTCGGAGAGCTGCGTGGCAGGAGGGAAAGGCCCGGGGCAGTTTCTGTTCCGGTGCCAGCGAGAGGCCGGCAACCTCATCGGGGGGCTGAGCAGCAGAGCGAGTCGGACGAGCTCACCTCTGCACACAGCGCCTGGGCTTGCAATGAGCGGGTGTGCCGGGCAGGACACGCCAGGCGGGGCGGTAAGTGCTACGTGCTGACTGGATTAATGGTACCTCACAGGCAGCCGGGCCAGGGACAGGCACTGAGAGCCCAGGCATCGCAGAGCTGAGGGAGACGAATGGATGGTGAAGAGCCGGGCTTTGACTTTGGGAAGACCTGAGTCTGAATCCTTTCCGTATCCCCGACAAGCAGCAGGACCGGAGCCACTTGGCCCCTGAACCTCAATGTTCTCATCCATGAAACGGGGATGAGGAGCACAGCGTACATAGCTCTGTGCCTGGCACCCACAAAGGCCCAGTAGCTGTTACTGTGGTAATCACCAGTATTAGGAGGGAGCCAGAGAAACGGAGAGAAAGTAATGGGGATTCTGCAACTGAACAGAAAACACTTGTGTCCAAAAGGCTCAGATTCCCTGTCGCCTCGGAGAACAACGAGACAAGCCCTGGTGTGTGCACCGCACTCTGTGTCACAGCCCTAGGCCCAACTCAGAGGCTCACTGCCTAATTATAATTAATCACCTAATTAATATTAACTGCTGGCTCCTCACAACAACCTCCCAGGTAACAGAACTCTGCTCAGGGTGTTAAGGGGCCCGCCCAGGCTCACACCGGGAGTCGGAAATGGCCAGAGACGTGTCCCACCCCACCCGGCTGCTTCCACCCGCACCGATGACGCCCAGAAGCAGCAGCCGGTTCGGAGGCAGCTCCAGCTGGTGGGCGGCCCTGTGCGCCATGAAAAGCCAGGTCTGGTTGCCCTGGATCGCCGGTTTCTGAGGCAAGATCCAAAGCAGTGGCTCCACACTGAGGTGTCCCTGCGATCACCCCGCGGAGCCCCTTTCAAAATACACACGTCCGGTCCTCCACCACCACACCTGCCGCTACTGAGCCTCCGGAGCAGGGGCAGGACCAGGAATCCATCCGAACTGCTACAAACAACAACCTCCCCAGGGCATCTCCAGGCAGCCCTGAGGTTGAAAACGATTATTGGAAAACGGGGGTTTTCAACCCTTTCTCCGTCTCCCTCCAGGAGGAGGGGCTGAGGGCCTGCTGTGCGCTGACCCTCCCGGGGGACGGGAGCGGCGTGGGAGAGCCCGGAGCAGCCTCCTTCGTCCCCCTGGCTGAGAACCGCTGTTCCCAGCAACAAGGCGGCAGTCAGAGCGGAGACTGAGAGCAGGACGCACGCTCTCGCTCTGACCCACGAAGGTGGTGGCTCCGCCAATGAAGGAGGCTGGGTGTGCAGGGGTGGGCCAGCATTCCCCAACTCCCAAAAATTAGCACGGGGTCTTTATTTACTGGAGCACAGTCCTGATACACGGAAGGACAAAGGAGTTCCTGTGGCCTGAGCCAATTTTAGTTAAAAAACAAGGTATCTGCCTATCTCAGTCAGACCATCCGCAGAAAATAACCCAGAGGGTTAACGCCAAGATGCTTAAGAGCGTCGTGAGGGATGGTATAATAAGTGATTTTTTTTTACTTGCAATCTTCCAGTATTGGCTGTATTTCCCAATAACAAGCCTGTTATTTTAAGTGATTTTTATTATGCAAAATGCCAACACATTCTCCTTGTTAAAAGAACATTACAACAGCATTTGTCCACTCCTGGACCTTCGGACCCTCCCACAGGGAATTACCCACCACTGTCCGCCGGATGGAAATCTTCCCAGCCCGTTCTCATGCATTTGCATACAGACCGATACTTTATCTGCGTTGTTCCTAATCACTCTGCATCTGCCGTTGTGTACCTTGTTTTTCCACTCAACAGTAGGTCCTGTTTAGCTGCCCACCACAGCCCACACAGATCTATCTAGTGCATCATCTTATGTTTTGAATCTTAAAAAAATTAATAAGTGAAACTAATTATGTGAGGTCTACAGAGAAAGCATCCCAGAGTGGTGGGCTCTGGCTCCCTCGGAACAGCTTAGCCTACCTGCCCAGCCTCGTCTGTCCCCTCCCTCAAGGCCCCGCTCCGCCCCCCACCTGGCGCCTCCTCCCTGCACTTACCCAGAAAGCTTGTGTCCAGGTCCTGGAGCCTGGCCACATCCCAGGCCCTCTTGACGCCAATGTTTGGTAAGTTGAGGCCCACTTTCCCATTGCTGTGGGGTTGAAGCCGGAGAAATGTTCTCAAGTTCAAGGCCACAGCCAGTGCTACCTGTAGGGCAAAAGCAAATAGCCTGCAGGTGGGTAGCATCCTGCCTTGAGAAGCCCTGTTTCAGCACCGTGCTGGTTCACAGCCATTGCCACCGGGCGGGCAGACACTGCTCACCGCCCGAGGCATGCCCTCCCACTAAGGCGGCACAACCAACGCTGACCAAGTAGGAGTAAACTGTGCCCATGCCTGCCTTCCCCATGCAAAACTGCGGAGGTTCGCAGCACCGAGGAATGGCTGCCCGTAATGACCACATTTCTGAGGGTAAGAACATAAAGACTAAGAGGAGGGGTGGGAAAAGCATGAGCTTTGGGTTCAGAAGGACTTTGGTTCACTCCCAGCTCTCCTATCCTCTCCCGGGCCTCAGCCTCCACTTTGGTAAAACAGGATAATAAAGTGCAACCCCAGGGGCAGTGGTAAGAGTTAAGCGAGATGGCGCACGTTTAGACTCCCGTGCTGGGTCCTAGCGTCCTCCCACTTCTAAATAATGAGGTACCCCAGAAGTCCATCCTCAAACCTCTTTTCTCCTCTGCCCAAGCTCACCGCTTAGCCATCTGACTCCACTCCTAGGCTGCCATGTCTGCTACCCCAGAGTGGGCCGGAGCAGCCCTGCAGCGCGCATAGACCCGACTTTTCCTTGCTTGGCTGGAGAAACTGACCTCCTCGCTGACTTACTATCAGGCTGTGCGTCAAGGCTTCCTCTTATCTCCTTTTGAGATTAGTGTCGGGACGAACGGTGCCAATCCTGCAGGCTGGGGCCTTTACCTTGCCATGGACCACGGCATGCTCTCCATGAAGGATGACCTTCCCTGGGGCGGACACCAGCAGGCCTTCTGACAACATGGCTCCCGGGACTCCTGACAGGGAAGCCAGAGGATGGATGGGCCCAGATCTAGAGCTTTTATAAAATGCCTAGTTCAAGCTCGTCCTTAAAAAAAGAAAGAAAAAAAAGGCAGCTGAGGGCAGCAGTCAACCAGACCCAGAGAAAGACCTGGGTTCAAACCCCCGCTCTTCTACTCCCCGAGTGATGCCATCTTAGCTAACTCACGTCAACGGCTTTGGACCAGTTTCCCCACATGCCACATGAGGACAATAGGACAATACCTGCACTCACTTCAGTAAGTTTGGGGAAGGTAGAATTAAATAACAAAAGGGAAGCACTTCGCAGGGTCTGGCAATTCGTCCCCGAGAGCTGCGTGGCATGGTTCTGTTCTTGGTTCCCGACTTCATTACTACTGCTACCAACGGCAGATTTAGGTGAAACCATGGACCCGGAAGAACCCTTCCCTGGAAACGCAGGCCGTTCCCGACGCACCAGAGCGAGGATCTGCGGAGGCGCGCATTTAATTTTTACAAATAGTGCAAAATTACCCTTCGTTCAAAGCTTTACGTGCACTAATTACGTCGGCAGAACAAGACGTGAACCTCACCATGCACTAAGTACTACCGTGACCGCCGTTTCTGGCAGGGGACACTGAGGCTCGGAGGGGGAAACGTACTGCTTCCCGATGCTGAAAAGCTCGTCTGTCAGGCTGGAGGTCCTGGCGCTCTGGGTGGTTCTCAGAGTTGGAGAAACAGCCGGAAATGCCGGGAGCTTATCATCTTATCCCCTGAGCTTATTGTCCTGACACTCAGCTCGCGCCCCCACATCCCCCTCCCCGGCCCCTATCACAGCCTCTCACCTGCCGCCGCCGCTGGGTTCTGTTCCACAGCGCACAGGCGCCCCTTCCGCTCAGCCAATCGGAGCGCGCGAGCATTGGCCAATAGGCGCTGTCAACCAAGACGTCAGTGTTTCCCCGCCCAGCTCCTCCGCGAACCAATAGAAAACGAGATCCTGGGAGTGTCCCGCCCTGGGCCGAGCGCCACGGACCAATGGAGATAGAGGTTGAGCGGTGGCGCGGCGGGTGGTGGGCGGAGTAACCCCGGGACCTAGACGGGAGCCTGGCGGGGTCAACCCCTACGAGCGGCCAGCGCATGGCTGTGTGGGTTTCGGGGGGCCGCCTGGGCCTTCGCGGATGCCTCGCGGCCGGCAGGCTCCTTTGTCCCCGTTTCCAGAGCCGCGGCTCCCCGGGCTTAGAAGACGGGGACAGGTAAGTGCCTGGCTGGGGAGGTGGCTGACACCTAGAACTGTCGCCGCCGTAGTTACGTCACTGCTGTGACGTCCTGCCAGGTGAGTCCTCTGTCCTGACGTCACCGTATTGATGTAGGCGCCGCGGGAGCCAGAGAACAAGGTTTCTTTGCACCAGCAAAGTCCGAACGAACTCAGGGCGGGGCCTACCCCTTGTGGGCCAAAAGGCCGGCCGCCAGGCTTCACGGTCAGGAGGGCCTCTGTTCACTGTTGCACCTCTCCCCAAAGCAGCTTACACCCTCAGACACAGACACGCTGCGTGATCCAAACATGGCTGTCAGCGTGGACCTGGAAACCTGCGCCCCTTTCCCGGCCTCAGAGCCTCTTGCGCTCCCACCCCCCCACCCCGGAGATGTGCCCACAACCAAGATACATGCCCTTGACCAGAATCGAACCTGGGACCTTTCAGTCCGCAGGCCGACGCTCTATCCACTGAGCCAAACCGGTTTCAGCAGCTTTTAAAATTGTTTGGCAATTCTTTATTTCTGAGGATCTTGAAGTTTCATAGAAAGGACGTGGTCCATGTTTCTTTCCCCACAAGAGGCCCTGACTTGGGAGAGGGTAAGAGTTTGGGGTCTGGAGTGAGATGGTCTTGGGCATAAGTCCCAGCCCTCCCTGTTCCTTCTTGGGTGACCTAGGCAGGTGGGTCTGGTCCTGTGAGTAAAATGGTCACAGGTAGTGCCTTCCTTTGGAGTTGTGGGAAGACTCCGGGGACAATTTCGGGATATAATGCTGGCAATCCCGTCAACACAGCGCAGGGACTGTGGGAAAGTGGTGGGTAAGTTATCTCAGTGAGTACTTATTGAGCTTCTGCATTGAAAAATGCACTACATCAGCTACTCAAATCCTCTACCACTGCCAACATGGATGTGGGCAAGACACAGGGCTTACAGCTAAGAGGGATGTGGAGGGGAGCAATGTTTACGAGAGCTAAGCATGCGGGGTGAGTGCAGCTCGGAGGCTATGAGCAGCCAGCTGGAAGCGCCCCCCCCCCCCACCACCTCACCACCTCTTGATGTCTGTTTTCTCATTAGGCCACAGCCTCCTTCGAAGACACCCAAGATCCCCAAGATTTACACCAAAACAGGAGACAAAGGTAGGGTGGGACAGGTGAGAGCTTCAGAGACACGCAGGCTCCATTTTAAAGTTCTCCAAATTCTTCGCAGCCATTGAAAAGTGTGTGGAGCTCCGGCTCAGTTATTACACATGAAATAGACATTTTTCTAAGAAGTGCATATCAGGGGGAAAAAATCTCATTTTGGGCAGCTGAACCTTTTTTTCCCCACAGGGTTTTCTAGCACCTTCACTGGAGAAAGGAGACCCAAAGACGATCAGGTGTTCGAAGCCTTGGGGACTACAGATGAATTAAGTTCAGCCATTGGGTAAGGGAGAGGGACTGGGTCTGGGGCGGAGCTTGAATTGGGCATCCATAAGGTAATTAATGACGCCTTGGCGACTGCCGGCTGGTCTCGGAGGTTGCCAAACCTTGATGACCCTGCCTTGGCCTGGAAGCACAGGAGCATCTGGTCAGCGCCTCGGGCTGCCGGGCTGCAGCGCCTTCCCCCTGGCACTGCTGCTCCTGTGCTGGCATCTGTCCCACGCATGGGAAGCTGCCCTGCCCACTGCCCCGGCTCCCTCACTCTTCAGGTGAGTACATGTGTGCCCTTGAGGGGCACGTGTTAAGTGAAAGAAGTGAGTTGAGCCCAGTATACAGTGCCTCAGATGTGGTCCCTTTTGTGAGTCTTGTTTTTTAAGTAAGCACATGCACAGCCAGAATTTAGACGGTGGGCTCGGAGAGTTAGTCAGGATTAGCCAGGTCATGCCGTGATAACAAGCAACCCCAGACCTCATGGTTTACAACACCAAAGGCGTATTTCGTGCTCTCACATCAAGCCCATCACAGGTTGGGCGTGTTTCTGTTCCAGAAGATGTCACTCTGGGACCTGGGCTGGCGGGACAGCCTGGTTCCAGGGCAATGCCAGGCATCGTGGCAGAGGGAGCAGTGATCATGCTAAAGCTCACACTGGCTCGGAAGTGACACATACTTCTGCTCCCATTTCTGTGGTCAGAGCCAGAGACATGCCTGACTGCAGTGCAGAGAGAGGGGCAGCACATATTTGATAACAATTGTCCAGTCCACCAGCCCAGCCAGCAGCCAGCTGTTGACAGTGTGAGGGGCACTTACCTCACGGGCTGGTTCAGAAGCTCTGTGGGAATCAGACAGGCCTGGCTTCAAATTCTCTGCCTCTGTTGACTGGCTGTGCAGCTTCAGGCAAATCATCGGGCCTCTCTGAGCCTCAGTCTCCTGTTTTGTCAAATGATCACAGTGATGGCATCCATCCCATTAGGTTCTAGTCGGGATTGAATAAGATAATTCCATATTCACCCTTACGACAGTGCCTAGTGCAAATAATAATAATGCCAGCAGTTGTGATTATTAAAACTTACCTGTTTGTGGCTTCTATTTCTCAAGGATGGGCTGACCAGGTGAGACCTTCAGGACAGCTAATGGGAGGTGTAGGTGGTCTGTCAGGAGCGTAGAGAAGGCAGACCCCTTGGGGTGGGGGTGGGCAGACACAGGTGATGTGGGCAGAGAGGACGGAAGGCGAATCCTAGCATCAGTTACTTAGAATCAGCAAAGCCATGGCTTCCAGTGATGTGGGCAGGGGCCTGGCGGAGCCCCAGCTGTGGAAGCTCCCTTTGTCAGATACGGATGGAGCATCTGTGTGCCAGGCACTGCTGTACAGGGAGCCTCAGCCCTGCTCCGTGGAGCTCTTGGTCTGGTGGGGCAGGGGTAGGGCAACCACAGTGGTGGGAGCTGGGATGGGGCAGGCACCGAGGGGGGGGCCTAAAACTGGCCGACATCATGAGAGCATGCTCAGAGAGCACCTGCCGTGTGCCAGGCGTGAGGCGTACTGCTGTGCGGGACAGAATGTGTCCCAGCCCAGAGGCCCTTCCCTGCACCCAGCGGGGAAGACCACACCGGACTGCCAAGTACACGTGTGTTCAGTTCTAATAGGAAGCGGGGCCAGGGGGAGGCCCTGGTGGCCCTGCCGCCCTTCCAACGCCGTTCTCTTTGCCGCTGCCCAGCGAGGCGGACCTGATCTCCTGGAGGGGATTTCCTGCTGGTTCCTTTCCTCTGGCTCCAGGTGGCCCGGCCAGGGGGAGCTCCGCCGTGCTGTCGCCCTGCTCCCCAGCTGCAGCTGGCTCCCGCCCACTCTCTCCCGCTGTGTGGCTCCTGGTGGCGGCCCCCAAGGAGCGGCTCTCTCCAGGCTCCAGGGCACCGTGAACCCTCCCTGGTCCAGCCAGGCTTCGGCTTCTGCCGATCTTGGCCTCATTAGCAGTTTCCATAACTCTGCCCCTGCTCTGTTAGCCGCCCCTTTGCACAGCTTTTCTCTGGGAACCCTTCGCAGGCACCCCAGTCCCTGCCAGGACCCGACGGCACAAAAGTGGAGTGCTGAGTCCCAGGGAGGCCAGTGACCCACCTGCCCTGGTCACCTTCTTTCCCCACCTCTCCTTCTCAGGAAATTCCCACCTGCAGCATCGCTTCCTCCAGGAAGTCCTCCCTGAGCCCTAGCCAAGGCTAGGTTTTCCAGGTCAAGCCCTTTCCTTCAGAGCACTGACCTCAGTTCGCAGCTTCACCTCCGGTCACGTGATAGCTCAGGTCTTCCCCTCCTGCTGCATAGAGCTCACCACAGAGCCGCCTGGACCTGCCAGAGTAGGCACTGAACAGGACTTGGTGACTGGATGAGTCATGAGTGTAAGAAAAGGCATTTTGAGAAACAAATACCCTTAACCTAGTGGAAGGTTATGATGTTCTTATTGTCAGCAAGAAATGGCACCGAGGCCATTCCAGCCAAGTTAGCTACATGGCCCATCGCCTGAGAATCCCTGCCTTCCAGCGAAGCAGGGCCTGGATGGTAAGCTAGAGCAGATTCTTTCCTTTTCCCTCATAGGTTTGCTATGGAATTAATTGCGGAAAAGGGCCACCCATTCGCTGAAGAGCTTGAGAAAGTGAGTAACATTTTTTGTTTAGCCCTGAGGCCTGGTATCCGTAACTGGATTTGGCATTTGCTCATCGCTTCCTCTCTGTGTCACCTGGGGTTGGTCACTCTTCCTCTGAGCCTCAGTTTCTCCGTCTGTAAAATGGGGACACATAGATAATACTCCCTCATAGGCAGGTGGTGAGGAGTGCTCCTAGGAAAGGAAATGGAAAGGGTGGTCAGTGGTCCCTGCCCTCCAGGGGACATTTGACAATGTCTGGAGACATTCTTGGTTGTCACACTGGAGGTGGGTGCCCGGGGTGCCGCATACATCCTGTGGTGCACTGACAGCCTCCAGATAAACCTCCAGGAGCGGCCTGAGAGGATTCCTCTTGGCCATCCCTGGGTGCTCGACGGTCATTGTCTTCATGGCCCAGCTGTCCCCAAGGGAGCCAGGTCTCTCCACAGGGCTTGTCCAGCATGCTGGCACTTCAGACAGTTTCCTAATTAGCCTTTAAATGCCAACTATTGTAGTTAGGTTCTGGCAGTCCTCCAGGCCAGCCCGTGTGCCTTGCTGTCAGGTGGCGCCTGCGCGGGGAACCAGGAGCCACACAGATCTTCACTCGCTCCTTCCGCTGCTCCCCTAGATCCAGTGCTCCCTGCAGGACGTCGGCTCCTCCCTGGCGACACCCCGCTCCTCCGCCCGGGAGGCTCACTTAAGTAATCTCTCGGAGGCCCCGTGTGTACTCAGAGGGCCCTGCAGGGGTGGACCTGAGCCGGGGCTCTCCCAGGTGTCACCTGGGACCCCGTCAGCCTGGCACCCAGACCCTGAGCGGTTCATGGGAGGGTGGGGCACCTGAGCGGTTCATGGGAGGGTGGGGCAGGCACTGGGCAGAAGGGAACCAGCGGGCTGCTTTCCTCGGTGCTGGGGGCGAGGGGCTCATGGCCGTGTCCTGGCTCCTCAGGACGCACCACGTTTGAGGCGGGGCGCACCCTGGAGCTGGAGCAGTGGATCGACAAGTACTCCAGCCAGCTCCCCCCTCTCACAGCCTTCATTCTGCCGGTAGGTACTGGGCCGCCCCCTCAGGGGGGCTGCAACCCCCCCCCCCCCCTTAATATTTTACAGTGACAGAGCTGCCCTCCACGTGCCCCGCGCTCCCAGCACTGTCCGCTCTGACAGCGGTGCCCACCTCTGCATGCAGAACACTGTGCCCTCCCACCCGCCCTGTGAGGAGCTCTCTGTCTGCACTGGGCACACCCGCCCACCCCCTCCACCAACGCCCGCTTTCTCCTTCCAGTCAGGAGGCAAGAGCAGCGCTGCACTGCACTTCTGCCGGGCCGTGTGCCGCCGGGCGGAGCGCCGGTGAGGCCCGGGGAGAGGGAGCATGAGGCTTGGGGGCGGGGGGGGGGGGGGTTACCTCCGTGTCACCCAGGCACCATGGCAGACCTTCTGGCTAGATGTAGGCTGGCCAGGACCCAGGTCACCTGCAGGGGCTGTGACTGCTGGCTGGGCGGACCCTGGGCCTGCAGTGCTGATCCTGGGATGTGGGTCCCGTGTGATGCTGTGGCTCCTCCCTTTCCAGCGTGGCGCCTCTTGTCCAGATGGGTGAGACGGATGCAGACGTGGGCAAGTACTTAAACAGGTACTTCCGGGGATTTGGAGATCTCCCTCGGAAAAGCGAGACACGATGGGAAGTAACCACCACGGAGGGGCCGCACTCATTCACCTCACGTTCACTGAGGATGTGCTGTGTGCCAGGCACTGTGCCCAGAGAGCAAGGCGGTAATCCCTGTCCCCAGCGGGGAAGGTCTTGTGGGGAGAAGCTGCCGTAACCACCAGCAAAGAGAACATCACCTCAGAGGACAGTGTGGAGCAGGGCCTGTTCTGAGGCTGGTCACCAGGAAGACCTGGCAGGGTCGTGGTGGGGCCAGGCAGGAGAGCGGCCTCCTAGCCAGCCTTCCCCGACGAGGCCCCTGGGCAGTGGAGCTGAGGACACGGCCAGGCAAAGCGAGCTCAGACCGGCCAGGCTTAGGGCCCAGCACAAGGCCCGGGTCGCTGGCTGGGCAGGGAGTCCCAGGAGCCCCGCCCTCAGCCTGGCAGCCAGGCCACCGCTGCCCAGGCCTTCTCCATGGGGTTCTGCTCCAGCATAGGCTCGTGTGTTTAAGGCCAGGTCCAGGGCAAGCCGAGCTGGGGGCCCTGGGAGCCATTCTGAGTGTCCGGGAGGTGGCCACAGCCTGGACTGGAGCGGCCCCTCACTGTGGCCCACTCCTCCCACGGGGACAGGGCCCAGGCTGTGCTGGGTTCTGACCAGCTTGTTCCTCCTTTGAGGGGAGAGGGATGTGGCAGTCAGGGTCACAGCAGTGATTCCTTGGGGGCGCTCTTGTCCCTGGAAAGGGACCAGGAACGAGGGGGTCTGCCGTGCACGGCCTGGAGTGTGTGGGTCCTCAGACCAGCAGTGTCTGCGTCACTGGCGTGGGCTGGACCTGCCGAACCCCAGGCCCGGCCCAGCTTTAGTGAGAATCTGCAGGCTGCCCGGGGCCCCACGGACTCGGGGCATGTTGGTGTGAGAGGCAGTGGTCCTGCTCGCTGGAAGGTGCGGAGAGCAGTGAGGGGCCCAGCGCGCCAGCCTCTGAGGCTGTTCCTAGGAGCCACCCAGCCTGGCGCAGCGGGCGTGTGCTCTCAGGGACGCGGCTCCCAGTGCGTCCACGGGCCCAGGCTGGCCGCTGCTCTTCGTGTGTGCCCCCCTCCCCCCGCCGCCGGGGCACGTGACAGGCTTCCTTCTTGAAGGCTGTCATGGGAAGGACCAGTGAGCACTGATGGCCCCTTTCAGATCATTCCGTCTGCTTCTCTCTGCCCCTCCAGACTCAGCGACTATCTCTTCACGCTGGCCAGGTACGCAGCCATGAAGGAGGGGAAGCAAGAGAAAATATACAGGAAAAACGACCCGTCGGACTGAACCGCAGGCGCTGGGATAATGGAAAGGGGCGCCCTCCGTGGGGGCCCCGCAGGGAGAGGAGGAGTGTGCCCTTGGCCCTGACTCCCGGAGGACTCACCCGGGGCCTGACGCGGGTCTCTGTCCGCACTCAGCTGCCTCCAGACCCCACACTCCCCTCAGGCAGCGGCTGCTGGAGACTCCTGCCCGCCTCTCCTCGGCCTGCGGGAGGGGTCACCTGCGGGAAGGAAGGCGGTGATTGTGTGACGAGGGGGACGCACGGGAACAGAATAAAAGTGGGAAAGGCGTGAACTGAGTGTGTGAGAGAGAGGGAGAGCCCTGCCAACGCCAGCTCCGCGTCAGGGACCCGGGGTGGCAGCGGCCTTGGGAGCGTCACTGAGTCCCGGTGCCGCCGGCCCTGGGTCACGTGTAAAGGGGAGGCAGGCGATGTGGAAGCAGAGGCTGGGAGCCACCCAGCTGCACATGGACAGGCGAGGCCTGGGAAACACCTGGGGCCCACGTGTGCATGGCGGGTGCAGCCTGCAGGAGGCTCTCAAAGGGGACCCTTCCCCCATCCAGGGGTGAAGAGGGAAATGCCACCCCTTAAAGGAAGGGAAGTCCTGCGGGCAGAGGGTGTTGAGGGCCGAGGGGGGACATTCTCAGCTCGAGGCAGGCAGCTCTTCCGTTCTCAGGCTGACACAGATGGGACGGAGCCCCGATGTTGCTTGGCTGGCGTGTGCTCAGATCCAGGCCGCGGCTGTGCTTTATCTCACCTGTCACCACCGTGCCCTCCCGCCGTGAGACAAGGCCACCAGTGCCAGCCGTGTCCTTGGGAAGGAGGGATATTGATGGAGGGCGAGGAGACAGCCCGGGACCCGAAGACTCCACGCTGCCAGCCGCAGGAAATGACTTGACAAGGGCAGGCCGCCGATGTCGCTGATGTGCCTGGGCGCTCCATCCGGGATCCCAGCTGAGCACCTGCTTAGCCTGAGGCACAGGAGGCTGCAGGCTGGGAGGCAGGTCCGCCAGCGTGGAAACCGTCTTTGCTTTCCTCGCCTCTTTGCCGGGAATTTTGCTGGAGGAACAGGCACATGTCCCCGAGTCCTTTGTTCCAGCAGCGTCAGGGGCCTCTTAGGCGGGCAGAGCTGCTGAGGAGCTGGCGGCCGAGCGACAGTGGCCGGCTCCTCCCGCCGGGCGAGCCCAGGCCGGGGCACAGGTGCCGGTGTGGGCCCGGGAGCAGTGGCAGCGGCAGCCGCGCCGGCGCCGGGCTGCCCTCGGAGGGCTTTGCTCCAGGAGCTGCAGCAACCGGCCCCGTGCGCTCCGTTCCGCCGGCTCCTCAGTCTCCCCTGGAGGAGCAGCCCCCACCGAGCTCCCAGCGGGGGGCGAAACCACCCCCAACGGGCGAGAGAAGCTCTGGGAGCAAACAGCCTCCGAAGGTGGAGCGCTTCGGAACAAGGCATGGGCCTGTCCCCAGACCCGTCCTCAGCCCTTGTGGGAGGGATGGTAGCCCAGGTTCCAGGCCCCTCTGCAGCTGCCCCCCCCCATTCCCCTACCCCCATCCACAAAGGTTCCCTGAGAGACAGCCAGGCGCAGGGCAGACTTGGCATCTGGAGGGTGTGCCCTGTGCCACCCACCTGGCAAACAGGAACCTGCTTTCCTCTCCCGCAGCGCCCGACAGCTATCCTGGAGCCGGCCAGAAGCACACGGCACCCGTGCACGCTTGTCTGGTCGCCTCCTTGCCTTGAACCCAGGCGGACAAGTTGGCAAACTGCACAGATAAAACACATGCCCTCCCTCTGAAGCCCGCATCACCTGCCTGCACCCCTGTCCACCTCAAGCAGGCCGCCCGGCCAAGCAGGTGGGAGAGGAATGCAGGCTTTTACTTCAGCTGCACCTTGTGGATCAGAGGTTTTTGCTTTTGCTTAACTTATTTTTAAAGAGACTGAAAAAACAAAAAGACTGTTGGAAAATATTACCTCGATTACTGGCGTTTGGGGCGCTCCCATACATTCTGCTCCCAAGAAAGCACCTGGCCTGTCACCCAGCTCAGTCCGGCTCGCAGGACGCCCGCGAGGAGCTGGTGGTGGGCATCCCTTTGGGGCGAACCTGCCACATCGGTGGTGCCGGTCCGAACGCCATGGGCGTCATCTCCACACCCCACAGCAGCCCGGCGGAGCACTGTGTGTGCTCTGGCTTTGCAGGTGTGGAAACAGGCTCACAGGAACCCACTTGTCAGGGAGTCAGCTCCAGAATGTGGGCCAGGATGTGGCCTGTGACTCCCAGTCCCGTGCTGTCCGACCAGCCGCCGCTTGACAGTCATGTTCATCACGGCTGGGCCGGAGGAGTGTCAGGCCTAATAGATTCTGCTGTCTCATTTCTCAACCTGCTTCCCCCGGGCTGATCTCTCATGGCTGTTGTTAATGCGCGTTCTTCACCGAGTAATTCCCAGCCGAACTTGTAACACAGCCCAACGACAAGGTCCCCTCGGCAGCAATGCCACCCTCACCTCCTTCCAGCCCTTCCTCAGCAGCCCCTGCAGATGTGTGGTTGCTAGTCCCAGTTTTCACCTCGGAGCCTTTAAGAATCCAGACGCATTTCAAGTTTAATTGCATGAAATTCTTGGTGTAATAAATTCTGCGTGAATGCTCATAAGTCAGTGCCTGGGGAGGGGCTTCGTGGCCACCCCTCCCGTCAGACCCGGCCCAGGAATCTCCCCGGCAATATGGACCCGGTGGGTCTGACCTTCATGAGGGACTTCACTCACCTTCGCAGCCCAGCTGGGGAGTCTTCACCCGCCTCAGCCCATGGCTTTCTCCTCTGGGAGCCCAGGCCAAGGCAAGGAACGGGCAGGCTGGGAACACCCAGGAACTTTGGAGGTGTCCTGAGACGGCACAGGATCTCATCATGCTACTCAGAATGATGCACAATTTAAAATGTATGAATTATACCTGCAATTTTCCATTTTTGGACCATGGGTAACTGAAACCATGGAAAGCAAAACCGTGGATAGGGGGATGTAAGGGGGTAGGGGGGTGGCTGCTGTAACATCTCGAACTGTCTAACCACTCAGCCCCCGTCCTCACCTTTGCTAATGGGATGACTGCAGCTGCCAGGGCGCAGGGAAGAAGTCCAGAGGCCTGGCACAGGCAGCAGCTGAAGAAGAAAAGCATTGACGTTGAATCACATTTTACCCTTTCCGAAGTGCTTTCTAACAGCCCGGAGGGCCGTGAGCAGCGGCTTGCGTGGTCAGACTTGCGGAGGGCAGGGCAACGGGAGCTGCCAGGAGCCTGGGGACCCACCTCTGGAAGTGCGGTTTGGTGCCTGTGAGCAGAAGGCCATCTGCATCCCCAGCTGGTTGCCTCCCACCCAGGGCCCAGGTCCACAAGCATGGGGAGATCAGTGCCCCCTTTTGGTCAGCCATGGGCCTCCATGAGACTTGGAGGACCCCCCACCCCCACCACGGGGCATATCACAACGAAGTGTCAGGCATCTTGGCACGGTGGTGAGGCGGCCGTGACACAATCAGGTGGGGAGGGGAGGAGAAGAGAGTATCTTGAACTACAAGCGGCCTCTCGGAGGAAGGGGAGAAGCAGGCACCAGCAGAGGGGACGCGGGTGCAGCCTGGGGAACGGGTTAAACGGCAGGAAGGCATGCAGCGGACCCAGGACTGGGAGTGGCTGGGGCCCCCCTCCCCACACCGGGTGCCCCAAGGCCCGAATCCTGGGCGAGCAGGTGCCTCTACTCCCGATCACCTTGGAAGGGTCGAGCAGACATCGGAGACATATGTTGCTGAGGGTGGTCTATTCTTGTTTATAAAATTTATGGCTTCACCTCGATTACACACTGTCAGACCGGGAAGGATTGGCCCCAGAGTCTCCTGCCGCATGACTGCTCAGACGTGCGTACATCTGTCAGCTCGGCGGGAGCTGTAGCGGGGAATGAGGCTGACGATAACTCACAAGCTCGCTGTCCCGCACGGGGCGGGCGCCGGGCCTCGGTGCCTGCGTGGGGAGGTTAGGGTCCGGCCGGGCGCGCCGGGGGCATCCGTGTCCTGCCCCGTCTGTTTACGGCCTGCCAGGGGCCCGCCCCGGGGACCAGGCCGCTGGAGGGATGCCCAGGCCACGCTCCGCTGTGGGGGACTGGGCGCAGGTACGACTTTCAGGAGGACAACTCGGCAACGCCAAGTCCTAGATTGCGCACCCAGGGCCCACTGTTGCAGATGAGAGAGTCTCAGAGGAAATAGGTCGGGAGCCATTAGGACTTTTTTTTTTTTTTCAGTTCAGTGCTGCTCACTGCGGGGAACATTGGGAAGCTAATGCCCACAATGGGGAGCTAATTGTTCAGTATTTGAAATAGCTAACAATAAGGGGTTATCCAAATTGTCATGTAAATCTATAAATCTAATAAATGATGGTGCATACAGATTGATTCCTATGGAAAATGGTCCACAATATAGGAAGTAAAAAAACAAACACCAAGTTATAAAATGGTACACATGGATCCAAATCCTACAAAAAGTGTGTGTGTGTGTGTGTGCGCGCACACACCACAGAAACACAGAAATATGCAGCAGCTGTTCTCTGTGTTAATGTCTCTGGGTCATGGGATTCGGGGTGTTCAGCTTTCATTTTTGTTTGGGTTTTCCTTTTTGTTTTAAAGAAGTTTGAGCTGGATTGACGAAGGCTCACTTAGTAACAAACACGCTGGCACCGGAAGGACCCGGCGGCTGGCACTGCCCTCGGCGCCCCGGGGCTGTCTCTTGCTTCAACCGTGTCTGGACTGACCAGACCCAGGGACACCCCTCCTTCCAGCCTCTGAGCTCCCTCCAACCGCTTTCCCGCCACCTCCTTGGAACCACTTCGCCCTCTTCAGCTCCGAGACCAGCCAGCACTGCTTCATTGTTGTTTCACCTTAATTCCTCATTGCGGACACCCAGGAGCTCGCAGGCCAGCCGAACCGTTCTTCCCAGAGGAGGCCCTCCATGCGGCCAGCTCCTCCCCCCCTCCTCCCGCCGGCCTCGGCCTCGCTCCGGCTCTGCTTGGCCTGCAGCCTGTGGCTCCTCCCCAGGAGGAGCGGGCGACACCCAGGGCGCCATGGCAGCGCCTGGCCTCGGAGAGGAAGCTGCTCCGGTCCTGTTGGGGCTGCAGCCCTCAGCTCTGTGCTTCCTGCAGACGCGCTCAGGGTGAGAAGTGGAGCTGAGCCGCAGGCACGCTCTCCTGCAGAGAGAGCCCCCTGGCTGAGGCCCACATTTCACACAGCCTCTGGCCACGCTTTAATCTACACGCTACCTGTGAACACCACACCTTTTCCTTTCCTTGTTTACTTATTCACCTGTGTATCTCTAAAACCATCAAACGTGGGGGCAGCAGAGATGACTGTTCACACTGTGATCCCAGCTGTGTCTGCAGCCCCTGCAGGCCGGAGGCAGGTGCTCACTGCTCCCATCTCCCCTCCACCCAGCCTGGGCGCCCCGAAAGGCCTCCTCACAGCCTGCGTTTGCGTGGAACCTTCGTGTTTAGTTTTCAAATGTCCACATCCGTGGCCTCACGCCCTTCTGTAAGGTGGTCAGGAGCGTGGCTGTCAGGAGAGCTAAGAAATGCGAGGTTGCACGGACCCATGTGGATATGATGGACACGCCAGGTCACGGCTGTGACAATCGACTGAAATATGAATTGTGTTGGCTGTCATCCGGGGACCACGCCAACACCCGCCAGCAGGCCCTCCGGCCCACGGTGCACAGGGCTGAGAGCCACAGCGGCTCCAGCCTCGGGGAAGATGTCCGCTTTCCAAGGAGCCACAGGTGAGGAAAAGCCTCGGGCCTGTCCGTGGGTTACTTTCCTGAAAAAGGGGAGGAAATGTGGGCGTTCACCCTGACTGGCTGTTTTCAGGTAAGTCCTCAGTGTAAGTCATATGTGGGTCCTGGATTAATGAGAATTTATTTTTATCCCCGAACCTCCTCGCCGAAGCTTAGAGCACTGTTCTTTGCCTGCTGGGGGAGGTTGCCATAGCAACCCCTTCTGGGGCCGCTGCTCGCTCCTCTGTCTGAGGTGCCTGCAGACGGGTGGAGTGGGCCGGGCCCCGTGGAGAGGAGAGGACTCGCAGGCCGGGCGCCCCTCCTCCGCGGGCCCTGGGCCCTGCCAGGGGCAGCGCCTCCCCAGCAGCCCAGTCCGAGCTCCCCAAAGGGCATGTCCTGCCGCTGCACCTGACCTTGCTCAGCCTCCTGGGAGGACATGGCCGGGTTAGAACCGGAGCAGGCACAGCTGCTGGCAGCTCTTCCCGGGCCCATGCTCAGAGGGTCCCAGCGGAGCTTCAAACGAGGCTGGAGGGGCTTCGCTCTCCGGAAGCAGCAAACCCTGCGAGGGGGGGGGGGGGGGGATGGAGGGAGGGGATGGGGGGAGGGGCCTCTCAGTGTCTCACCAGCGGCTGCTGAGAGGCATCTTCCACAGGAACTCGGAGAAGTTAAATATCTGACACCTTCCCCTCCCTCTCCATGTACACGTTACAAGTATGGACTGCTGTGTCAAGTGCTAAACAGGATATTCGTTTATAAAAATGCTAATGTATTAGAGGTAGTTTTACTAACAGGTGTTAAGAAAAAAGCAAGAAACATTTACCGATCAAAGCTGCCTCCCAGGCCCTGAGGACACGTTCGTTTGCTCCAGGAGAGAAGGCTCATCTGACGCAGCAGCTGCAGCCGAACCCCCGCTGATCAGTGTCCACGGTCCCGGCCGTCCCGCCGCCTGGCCTCCCGGCTGCTGGCACCACGCCCCGGCACTGAAGCCGAAACATCACATGCACCCTCTCTGGCTAGTGCACCACGTTAATAGACTCACCCGACCGGCCAGTCTCTGTGTACTCAGCAGGTTTGGGTTTTGTGTTTCCTTTTCAATAAAAATCGTCAAGATCCTGTGACTTTGGGGCATGGGGTCACACCCTGGTGCCTGCCAGAACGAGTGTTTAAGTTTCTAAACACAGACCAGCAGCCTGAGGGGGTTAAAGCGAGGCTCCGGGGCCGGGCCTCCCCGGAGGAGAAGCTTCCTTCGCACAGAGAGGCGGTGAGTGGTGAGGCGGTGAGGCCCATGGGGGGGGAAGGCTGCTCCTGAGCTTTCTTCCGTCTCATCAGAACCTGCCCACCTGCTCCCTCACCTGACCCTGGTGTCCCCACCAACGCCCTGACTTTACCACGAGGGCGCTGCCACGCTGTGACTTCAGCTGGTTTTGGAATTAGCCTTTGAAGAACTGAATTTTACGTGTGACTCTCAGAGACCTCCACCTCTAGGCTCCCAGTGGCGAAGGTTATCTCAGGGAGCTGCAGGCGATCTCCGGGTTTTGTCGTCCTGGAGCTGAACGTGGAAGCCCCGGTCAGATTTTCTTTTCCCAAGTTCTCCAAAGGAGAACGCGCGTGAGATTCGGGAGGTGGGAGGGCAGCAGCAGCCGTTACTCTCAGAAGTCTGTAACAGGCAGACAGACAGAGGTGTCTGCAGGTCCCGATTGTTCTTGCTCTTCTCAGCTCAGTGTCCAGCCTGCCGTCCAGGCTGGCCGTGCACCCGCCCAGGCAGTGCCAACTTACGGCAACCGCTTCCCGCAGGCCTCTCCACGGACTGTTGGTTATAAAATTCCATGGTTCTTTTTATTGGAAAGAATATTCAGTATTAAAAGATCTTCCTGCCCTGGATGGTTTGGCTCAGTGGATAGAGTGTTGACCTGCAGAGTGAAGGGTCCCAGGTTCGATTCTGGTCAGCGCACACGCCCAGACTGTGGGCTCGATCCCCAGTAGGGGGCGTGCAGGAGGCTGCTGATTAATGATTCTCAACATTGATGTTTCTATCTGCCCCTCTCTCTTCCTCTCGGAAATCAATAAAAATATTTTTTTACATACTTTATTGACGTGCTGTCCTAGGGTTTCCTTTCTGAGATGACTTTAGTAAATTTTCCTGGAATTATGGAAGTTGGTCAATGAACTAAATTATCTGTCATTGATCCTTCCTTCCCTCATTCTACAATTCTAAGCACACCCTGAGACTCTGTTATTGACATTAATATCATTTCCTCATACGTGCATGCAGGGCGATTTTAGGTGACATCTGGGAAGGCAGAACAGGCCTGGAACAACCAGAGTGTATAAGGAATTGGGAAATTTGTCAGGTACTTTCAATGTTTTCACAGGTGAGTCTGTAAACGACCCAGTGAAGGGAGCAGGGCAGAGGGGGAAACGCAGCTGTTAAACAACTTGCTGTTCTCAGAGCCTTTCAGCCCCTCACCGCTGGTGTGACCCAGCTGGGTCAGGCGCCTGCCCCTCCCCCCCAATTCCGGGCATCACCGCCAGAAGTGGCATGGACTCACACACTGCGAGGGAGCGCTGACAGGAGGATGTGCTTTGGCTGAAAAGAGAGGAAGACCTGGCTGATAGCTTTGTGGCACTGGGTAGCTTCTTAGCTCCTCTGCACTCCACTTTTTTATTTTTATTTTTTTATTATATTGATTTTTCACAGAGAGGAAGGGAGAAGGATAGAGAGCTAGAAACATCAACCAGCTGCCTCCTGCACACCCACTACTGGGAATGTGCCCGCAACCAAGGTACATACCCTTGACTGGAATCGAACCTGGGACCTTCCAGTCCGCAGACCCCCCCCCCCCCCGCTCTATCCACTGAGCCACACCGGTTTTGGCTGAGCTCCTCTTTTAAAAAGAGGAGTGGTTTCTGCAAGTTTGTGACAATTACACTCGATAATGACACAGCCACATCGGCACAACACAGGCACATGGCAGGCGCGGCACCCTTGCTGGCACTGATGTCTCACCCTTCACCTGAATCTCAAGTCTTTTCCTCCGAGTTAACTTTAAGTCTGCTGATATGACCTTCCCTGAGCACCTGCTCATCCTAAGGCCTCCTCTCACCATGCTTCTACCCCTGTTATTCCACTAGCAAATGCTGCGAAAGTGTAATCAGCCGATCGCACCACTGGTTTTGCACCAACACTTCTTAACTGCTCCGTTTCGGAATGCCCCATCCCTTCCCTCTGCCGAAACTCCTCTTCCGGCCAATAATGATCCCCGATCACCAGGTCTCCTAGCCAACCGTTACCCAATGCACGCTGCTCCCGCGTGTGCTGGCCTGGGTGTTCCACGTGAAGAAATGACCCCATGCTGGACAGTAAGAGAGATATGAAGAACGAGAAACAGGGCAATGAGACGGGGAGTAGCTCCAGGTGGGAGAGTGGGCGGGAAACTATTATAGTAGAGAAGCGGGCAGCGCCACTCTAAGAAGGCATTGGAGACAAGCCCGAATGCAGGAACCAGCCAAGGGCCGAGAGCATTCTGGGCAGGTACTTCTGTAATGGGGGGAAACAATAAGTGTGAGGTGCATTTTATTTTTTTATTTTTTTATTTTTTAAAATATATTTTATTGATTTTTTACAGAGAGGAAGAGAGAGGGAGAGTTAGAAACATTGATGAGAGAGAATTATCGATCAGTTGCCTCTTGCACGCCCCCTACTGGGGATGTGCCCGCAACCAAGGTACATGCTCTTGACCACAATAGAATTGAACCTGGGACCTTTGAGTCTGCAGGCCGACGCTCTATCCACTGAGCCAAACTGGTTTTGGCTGAGATGCATTTTAAAAATAAGCATAACTGGACCATTCTGAACAAGATGAAATGGTAGACCTGAGTGCGAAGAGAGGCCTGGCTCAGGGAGGCCTCGCGAGGCAATGGGGAGGAGTCTAGATCTTATTTAAGTGCAGGCAGATGCCGCTGGAGGGCTTTCAGTGAGGAATAGGCATGTTTTATGGAACACAGAGAGAGCACTGCTGCTGCTTCGAGACTGAAATGATGGTTTCACCATCAGCAGTACGGGAAGATGAACCTCAAACTGGAAAAAGTAAAAAAAAAAAAAAAAAAAAAAAAAAAGGAATAACAGCTCTATCCGGTTTGACTAAAGGGTCCCAGGTTCGATTCCTGGTCAAGGGCATGTACCTTGTTTGTGGGCACTCATGGATGTTTTTCTCTCATTGATGTTTCTAACTCTCTATCCCTCTCCTTTCCTCTCTGTAAAAAAAACAAACAAACAAACCCAAAGAACATACATACCTTCTGTAACAGCTGCTACAACATATATATATATATATATATATATATATATATATATATATATATATATGTGGAATAACAAAGAATTTAAATGAGTTAAAAACTCTCAGACCAAGGCCAAATGTATTTCAAGGCACTTAAGGTATTTGACTGAGAGTCACTGCCAAAACTCAAGAGGAATGTGAGAAACAGAGAACACCAAATGATCCCGTTTTCAAAGAAGAGAGACAATTGCATTGTTCCTAAATCCTCATGTGAAGTCCTCAAAGTGGGGTTGGTCCATATTTATGAAAGACCATGGTCATCATTAGGAATAAGCACAGAAAGAAGTGAGAATAAATCATGTAAAATTAAGCCAGCTTTCCTGTTGGCAGTGATGGTGGAGGTGGTGGTGGTGGTGGTGGAGGTGGTGGTAGTGGTGATGGTGGAGGTGGTGGTGGAGGTAGTGGGGGTAGTGATGGTGGTGATGATGGCAGTGATGGTGGTGGTGGTGGTAGTGGTGGTAGTGATGATGGCAGTGATGGTGGTGGTGGTAGTGATGATGACAGTGATGGTGGTGGTGGTGGTTTACTGGTATAGAATTCTCAGACTGACAATGTCTCTTCGCCACTCTGTGTATTTGGGTAAGCTTTTCAATTACAGAATCTCAAAGATGATTGGAACTTTATCAACAATCTATTTCAAATTTATAACTTATAGAAGCTTTTTTGATTTCCCCCACATCCCAGCTGTGTAACAGCTGCTAGAACATAACAACAGGAAATTCACTTCATTTTGGAAGTGGTTGGAATACATTGCTGAAAATCAATTTACATGTAAATGCAAACCATTAATCCCACCTCTTTTCTCTGGGCTGTGATAAGACTAATGCTCACACATACACGCCTTGTTGGACATTTTCTGAATGTGTCAAACTAGGCAGACAGGCTTGGGTTTTTATTTGCGATTGGGCAGCCACAGAAGAGAAGTCCCCTGCAGCTCCCGGCCAGCTGGAGCGGGGTCTCTAACATCAGGCCAGAGAACGCCTCCTTTTTTCCTGCCTATTTTTAATAATCTATGTTTGGATCCGTGATGGTCAAATCTAGAGATGAAACAAAGTTAACTAATAGAGACATGTCAGACTTAATCTAGATTCAATAAAAGTATTAACAGGATGTGATAATTGGCTGAAACTAATAAATTTTAACAGCAGCGAGTATAGAATTTCACATTAATTTTTGCAAAATTCCCTGTGTAGGTACAAAATGACTCTGCAACAGGTTGAGTAAAAAATAATTAGGGGGCCCTAGCCAGTGTGGCTCAGTGAATAGAGCGTTGGCCTGCAGACTGAGGGGTCTCAGGTTCAATTCTGGTCAAGGGCACATGCCCGAATCGCAGGCTCCATCCCCAGTGTGGGGCGTGCAGGAGGCAGCCAATCAATGATTCTCTCCCATCATTGATGTTTCTATCCCTCTCTCCTTCTCTCTTCCTCCCTGAAATTAATAAGAATATTTAAAAAAATACTTGGGGGGTTTAATTGACCTTAATCTCCTTATGAGTGAGATGTGACGGTAAACACACCAGAAGAGACATTCCTTCTGAAGCAAATGTGCCCTAACCCCCCTGGGTTTATGCTGGTCACCACACAGACAGCCCAGCTCCTGTCCTGGATGTCACGGTGAGAATTATGCTGACAAACAGGAGATCTCCCGGGAAAATGACTGGGGTGGGTACGGTGGGAAACCACGAGGAAGTCCCTGGGAAGAATCTTGCAAGTTCAGCCCCGAACAAAGAAGCCTGGGGTGGGCGTGGGGAAGCAGCCCTTTTAAAGAAAACAGATCGAGCACCACTTAATGGAGTTTGTGGAGAGATGGTGTACAGGATTTAACTGAATATAAAGAAGAACTTCCTTAAACAACAAAGGGACTGCCTTATAAGCAGAAAGCGTTCATTGCTGAGCAAGATCCAGCGTGTTCATTAGGAAGGTTTGGGGGATCCCTGAATTGTAAAAAAAAAAAAAAAAAAAGCTGAATTAAATCAACCCGAGCTTCCCATCCACGTCTAGCAATTGCGATTCAAGGGCTGATCTTGCAAACAACACAGCCACATATAACGCTCCACCACCGCTGCCGAGACTGGAACTGCGGGTCAGCACCCGCCGGCTGACCCCGCCGCCATGGAGGACGTGAATGAGTACCGCAACACGGAGGAGTTGGCAGAGGGATCCGAGATCAACGCCAGCAAGAATCAGCAGGAGGACGGTAAAATATTTATTGGAGGTCTGAGCTGGGATACAAGCAAGAAAGACCTGACTGAATGTTTGTCGCGATTTGGGGAAGTTGTAGACTGCACAGTTAAAACAGATCCTGTCACTGGACGATCAAGAGGATTCGGATTTGTGCTTTTCAAAGATGCAGCTCGTGTTGATAAGGTTTTGGAACCGAAGGAACACAAGCTGGATGGCAAATTGATAGATCCCAAAAGGGCCAAAGCTTTAAAAGGGAAGAACCCCCCAAAAAGGTTTTTGTGGGTGGCTTGAGCCCAGATACTTCTGAAGAACAGATTAAAGAATATTTTGGAGCCTTTGGAGAGATTGAAAATATTGAACTTCCCGTGGATACAAAAACAAATGAAAGAAGAGGTTTTTGTTTTATCACATATACAGCTGAGGAGCCAGTAAAGAAATTGTTAGAAAGCAGATATCATCAAATTGGTTCTGGAAAGTGTGAAATCAAAGCTGCCCAACCCTAAGAGGTATACAGGCAGCAACAGCAGCAACAAAAGGGAGGAAGAGGTGCTGCAGCTGGTGGAGGAGGTTGTACTAGGGGTAGAGGCCGAGGTCAGGGCCAAAACTGGAACCAAGGATTTAATAACTATTATGACCAAGGATATGGAAATGACAATAGTGCCTATGGTGGTGATCAAAACTATCGTGGCTATGGCGGCTATGATTATACGGGGTGTAACTATGGGGCTATGGGTATGGACAGGGCTATGCAGACTACAGTGGCCAACAGCACTTACGGCCAGGCTTCTCGAGGGGGAGGCATCACCAAAACAATCACCAGCCTTCTAAAGGAGGTCATTGGAGAAAACAGGAGGCGAATGCTGAAGTAACCCACCTGGCAGGACGACATTGAAGATGGATTGGTCTTCTCTTGCTCGAAGATGATTATTTTGTAAAAGACTTTCTAGTGTATAAGACACAACCGTGTCCAACTGTATATAGCTGCCAATTAGTTTTCTTTGGTTTTTACTTTTGTCTTTTGCTATCTGTGTTATGAGTCAACGTGGATTTGTGTTTATACAAATTTTATTTGTATGATTTCATGTTAAACCTCAAATAAATGCTTCCTTATGTGAAAAAAAAGAAAAAAGAAAAAAGAAAGAAAACAACACAGCCATGGCCTGCTGGCTCCGCCCGCCCGGAGCTGGTTCGGTCTTGGGCACAGGCTGCTGCGGGGACAGTCAGGCGGGAGGCCCCTCCCGGCGGCCCCTGCCCGGCTCGCTCTCGGCAGCTGTTGCTCTTTTTTTGGAACATCAGCGTTTGGACAGGGAGGAGAGGTTCTTGAATTAACCCTCCTCTCCAGTGCCAGGCATTCCTAACCCTCTGCATCAGCTCGGGTTTGTAGCTGAAGGGGAGGCTCAGGTTTTCCTCTGCCAGGAAGACGTGCCCAGACAGCTGCCAGGACAAGGGCGTGGCTCACAGTTGGGAGAATCCAAACCACAGTCTATCCACCTTTTAAACTGAATGAATGATGGATGAATGAATGAATGGATGGATGGGTGGATGGATGGATGAATGGATAGATGGATGGATGAATAGATGGATGGATGGATGGATGGATGAATGGATGGATGAATGGATGGATGGATGGATGGATGAATGGATGGATGGATGGATGGATGGATGGATGGATGGATGGATGAAAAGTGACTCAGCACGAGGAGCTGCCCAGCCTCATAACCACTCTCACAACACTGGACCGCCTCACCAGGTGGGAGGGAACGGGGACAGGTGGCTCATATGCACCCACCCCTAAGCAGCATTATCTCGCTGTGCCCAGTGCCCCGGACCTGTGAATCCGGCTTCACAGAGGGTAGAAGGGAAGGACCAGGGAGGTTGGGGACGGGGGTCGGAGGAGGAGCAAGGAGCCATGTAAGGTGTGCTAGCGGGTGACGTCATTGCCCTAGAGAGAGAGCCGGCCCTCCCCCTCCAGGTGGCAGGAGTGGGGTTGCCTTAGGGTGTGAACTGGGAGGAGGCAGGCTGGGGAGAGCTGTGGGTGTGCACGGGAGGCCCGGAGACATCAGCGGGAGAAGCCGCGGGGCTGGACCTGTTTGCGCCGCCCTGGCTCCGCCCCCTCGGCGCGCCTCTGCCCGGGGGAGGGGCACGCCTGCGCGGGGGTGGGGAGTGTGTGCATCCCGGGGTGGGTCCTCGGCGGCGGGGGGTGGAGAGCCGCCTGCGCATGTCAGGACTGACCGCGCACACGGTCAGGGGGCCGTGGAGGAGGGGAGCTGGCCACCCGCCGCCGGAGTCCGGGCCCGGGGATCCAGGGCGAGCTTGGGAAGGGGCCGCCTCCCTTCACCCACCCCCTCTCTGAGGTCTCCGGCGACAGCAGCTGCCGCCTCCCCGCTGTGCTCCCGGCCTCCCGGAGAGCAAGGGCGGGTGTGGGGGGCGCGGAGGAGGGTCGGGTTTTGCAGCCCAGACGGCCTGTGGCTGCGGGTGCGGGCACGCCCAGCTGGAGAGCGGGTCCGGGCCGGTGAAGCTGGAGCTCCCGGTCTCGGTGGATCCTGTGCCGAGCGGAGGGGCTCCGGAGGGAGGTGAGAGGTGGCTCGGCATGGTCCCCGCGGACAGCGCGGCCGCCTAGACCAGCGGGTTCTCTTCCCGCGGCGCCCCCTCCAGGCGGACCGCACGCCGGAGCGGCCGGAGCGGCAGAGCCCGGTCGGGGCGGGAGGCGCTGTCCGCGGTGCTGGGCGCGGGAGGCGCTGTCCGCGGTGCTGGGCGCGGGGCGCTGTCCGCGGTGCTGAGCGCGGGGCGCTGTCCGCGGTGCTGAGCGCGGGGCGCTGTCCGCGGTGCTGGGCGCGGGGGCGCTGTCCGCGGTGCTGGGCGCGCTCCCAGCCACTTGCTCGGCCGGCGGCGCGCGGAGCGGACCCCCAGCCCGGAGAGGAGGCGCTGCGAGGGCAGGTCCAGCCAGAGCCACTCAGTCCCCGGGGCCTCCGCACGGCCGCCTGGCCCTCGCCCAGCCCGAAAGTCGCCCTCTTGGGGCAGCTCGTCCCAAAGGGTTTCCTCGAAAGTGTCTGTGAAGGCGCAGCGGTGGACAGGGAATCGCCTTGGGCCTGGAGCGACCACCTGAGAAGATGCCTGCCTTCAGAGGAGCGCTCCCCCTGGCCGCCTTCACGCTCGCCCTCTGGGGTGAGTACCAGCGCCCGCCATGCGGAACGGGTGACAGTGATAACGCCACAGAAAGGAGCCCCGTGGCTTCCCTCGGGGATGTCTGCCAACGCGGGTCCAGGAGGGCTGCATGGGAGCTCGATGTGAGGCTGGAAAAACGCCTCCCAACCCCCTGCTGCTTTATTCCTGAACCAGCCTGGGTTCCTCCATCCGCCTCCTATTTGCTGTTATTGCAAGGCATGTTTCCCCTTTGCTAAAAGGAACGAACAGTCATGCACATTTCAGCTGCAGTTAATGGTTCTTAGGGTGTAGTGTCTTGGAAACCTGATTGGGTCTTCGAGTGAATTTCTGCACATTACAAATAGCTGGGCGCATGCACGTTGAGACAGAAAACACTTTAGTTGTTAACCCATCTGCTAAATCTTATCAGGAATGGGAGGAAAACAGGCTCAGTCATTTGCGCGAGGTGTTAAGTAGATTTGCACCTGAGAATTGCATTTTTTTTTTTTTTTTTTTTTTTTTCTTTTTTTTTTTTTTTTAACAGGGGAGCTAAGGTGGTGTGTGGGGAGCGGGGGTTTTGCCTTCAAAGGCTCATACACTCTCGCTTGTCGCTGTGACGGACGAGGGGACTTTCTCCCTCCAAATCAGGGAGCCATGCCCTGCAGCGATGAGGCTGAGCAGGGATGTCAGAGAGGAACTCGGGGTGGAGGCCTGCATGTGTGCAGAGGGAGTCAGTGAGGGTAATGATACTGCCTGAATATGCAGGTGAGAGCGCCCTTTACTGTGCATCCTTGAGCCTCGTGGGTGAATGTGTGCACCAGTGTGTGTCTGAGCCTCTTAGCATGGCTATCTGAATGGCGTGGTGAGGACGGAGTGGGTACACAGATGTGTCTGTGTGTGAAGTAGTTGTACAGTTCTGGGTATCTCTGCTTTGGTTTTCTAATTAGATCCTGAGGGAAATAGATGTTTTTTAGATGACATATTGCTTGTACATGATCTTAGTTACCTTCTTCATGCTAAAAGGTAATAACCAGTATAATTAAAGGGATTGTGCCCATCTGCCTTGGTGAAACTAGGCACCTGGAGCTCTAGCCAGTGTGGCTCAGTGGATAGAGGGTCGGCTTGTGGACTGAAGGGTCCTGGGTTCAATTCCGGTCCAGGGCACATGCCCAGGTTATGGGTTCGATCTCCAGTGGGGGGACATGCAGGAGGCAGCCAATCAATGATTCTATCTCATCACTGATGTTTCTATCTCTTGCTCCCTCTCCCTTTCTCTCTGAAATCAATAAAAACATATTTTAAAAGATATGAACACAAAGAATCTTTCAATTCTTTTATATTTTGCATATTTTGGAAAAAGTTCCCTTATTTTTTAAATAATGCATATAACAACAACAACAGCCCGACACTTGTCTGGGCTTTATAGCTTACAAAGCACTATTATTTTTTAAAAAATATATTTTTATTGATTCCAGAGATGAAGGGAGAGAGAGGGGGGGAGAGAGATAAAAACATCAATAATGAGAGAGAATCATTGATTGGCTGCTTCCTGCGAGACCCACACTGGAGATGGAGCCCAGATCCCAGGCATGTGCCCTGACATGGAATCGGACCGTGACTTCCTGGTTCATAGGTCGATGCTCAACCACTGAGTCACTCCAGCAGGTTTAGTCCATTCCTTCTTTTGGCCCCATATCAACCCTAAGGGGGAGGATCACTTCTAATTTGGAGACGAGGAAAGGAGCTCCAGAGGGGAAGACTTGCTAGAGAATCTGGCCTCCAAATTGGAGGCTTCCAGTGTTTGTCCTGGCGCTTCTGTGAACGCATGGCTGCTACGCAGGATGCCGGGTGGACACCCAGCCTTGCGTCTGTTTCTGAGCGGCCCCTCCTTTCTTCCCTCCCCATGCCATGGCATTGCCTTTTAAAAAAAGTATTGAATTTCAGAGACAGAAAGGAAAGGGAGAGAGAGAGAGAGAGAGAGAGAGAGAGAGAGAGAGAGAGAGGGAGAGAGAGAAACATTGACTTGTTGTTCCAGTTATTTATGCATTCATTGGCTGATTCTTGTAAGTGCCCTGACTGGGAATTGAACCCACAATCTTGGCACATTGGGACGATGCTCCAACTAACTGAGCTATCTGGCCAGGGCACCATTGCCTTTTGCAGAGCTTCCCTCATCCTCAGCCTCTGGTGCCCTCTGTACTCTTCCTCTGCAGGTCTGCTCTCCAGATGTCCACTCTTGGGGAGTGTTTTCCTCTTTCCCCACTAGCCCTTCTTGCATCCTTTCCTTTCAAGGCTCTGCTAAGCGACTGACTAATCTGACAGACCAAGTCATTACAGGGAACTAATACCTGCAAGCAACTCTGATTATTACTCTTTTGAGGAAGTACTTCCATTCCAACCAAAGCATTTATTATCTTACTAGAGGCCCGATGCATGGAACTGTGCAAGGCTAGGCCTTCCTTTCCCCGGTTGCCGGCCCTGGCTTCCCTCTGGTCCCCGGGACCCGGACTTCCCTCCAACCACCCCAGGCACCCGGGACCCTGCCTTCCCTCGTAACCCCGGCTTCATCCGAAAGGTCGTCCGGTCTAATTAGCATATTACGCTTTTATTATTATAGATTGCGAAGGAAAACAGTCTAGAACGAGCTCTGGAAGAGCAATATAGTGATGCCCGAAGATTTGGGGGTATTAGAGGAGTTTGCTCAATATACATTACTACCCACCTCATTGATGCTATTCCTTAGTTAAATACGACCACCATTAATATGTCAGATTCTTCCTTGTCATACGTTATTACCATGAAAACTGAAAAGGAGGCAGTAGGTGAGATGGTTTATGCAGAGCATCTCAGGAGTTACTGCATGCAGTCAGCGACATGGCCGTGCACTGCCGCTCCTGCCTGTTCCACGTGAGGCCTGTTCTTGGAGATCCAGAGGGTTTCAGAAGCAGCGATGCTCTGGCGACCCGCAGGCTGGGGACACAGACTTCCCCTCCGAGGTCACCGTGCGAAGGGCAAGCAGACGGGAGGGACGCGGAGGCCACTTGCAGGGCACTGGCCAGGCTCTCAGGCGCGTCTCTCTGCCTGCAGCTGGACTTTGACTAGAGGAGGGGACCAGTGGGCCTGCTCTCTGAAGATATCCGGGTTATTGTCATCTCAGGGGCATCATAGGAAAAAGAGGCCGCCCCTCTCCCCCCTATCCACCAGCCCGACGGCATACATTCTGTCCTCCTCCTCCAACTATAAACGCATGAGCGGTGCTCCTGTCTAAGGCCCTCTGATCTACTTTATCAGAGCACATCAGCTCTCACCTATAGTCATCAGCAAGTCATCCCCTGTCACACCCCACAGCTCCACGCCCCCTCACCCAGCAAAACCGACGGCAGCTCAGCCTGGTCACTCTATCAGTGCTTACTGTTACCTTCGCTCCCGCCCGTGTGCTTCCTCACCTCTGGTTTATTCTCAACACAGCGGTCACATCGTGCAGTTTCATAGTCAGCTCATGTCATTCCTCCACACAGAGCCCCATGTCACTCTAATCACGGCCTTTGAGACCAGCCACAGCCTCGCCCTGGCTGCCCTCCCGCCCCTGTCTCTGTCCTCAAGTTCTCCCTGGGTTTATTGTGCTCTTTGCTTTCCACAAACGCACTCCCATCCCCGGCCCTGGAGCTGCTCTTCCCTCTGGCACCTTCACACAGCTCTCCACCTCCTCTCTCCTGCAGCTCCTCCCCCGGCCCTGGAGCTGCTCTTCCCTCTGGCGCCTTCACACAGCTCTCACCCTCCTCTCTCCTTCAGCTCCTCCCCCGGTCCTGGAGCTGCTCTTCCCTCTGGCGCCTTCACACAGCTCTCACCCTCCTCTCTCCTGCAGCTCCTCCGCCTGGGGGGTTGTCCCCAGTGAGCACACGCACTGCCTCCTCTGGCCTCTCTTATTCTGCCTCCCAGCACTTGTGGCAATTTAAGCTGCTTATTTTCTCTCTCCCCGCCCTAACGCAGGCACCATGAGGGCAAAGATGGCTCCTGGGAGTTCCCTGTTGGACTCTCAGTGCCGGGCACCCAGCAAGCAGGAAAGTGAACACTTAGATGAAGCACAGAAGGACATTAGCAAGTGACGTTTGTACAAAGCACACTTGTGTCAATTATTCCAGAGGATTTTCATGGAAAATATATTGGATAAACATTATTTTCAGCACTTTTATTGATGCATAAATGGGTCTCGGAGAGGTAAAATAGGAAATCAAACACCAGCAGTTGCCAAATACCATCTTCATCCTGCCTCTGTCATGGTGACTGCACAGCACACTCTCTGTTCTGCTTTTGAAGTGTCGGAGCCGCACTAACTTACCTTCACCACATCTCGTTAAATATGAGGGCACACTCTCCACACTCCACGTCTCCTCCACTCTGACTCCTGTGGAGATGACCCCTCCTCCTTCCTTTCTGTTTTCACCAGGCCTGGAATCAAGACTCCAAACCCATCACAGACTGCAGACCAGGTCTCCCAAATGTGCACCCGCTGGTGTGACCGCGCAGAAGCAGGTCGCCCCCTGCAGGCCCCGGCAGGACCAGCCCAGCTAGCTTGCTTGAGTTTAAAACCAATTACATTTATTGCCTCTAAATATTTTAGACTTCACTCAGCACCACTAGGATTGAGGCTGTGTTTAAAATGAAAGGCGTTGCCTTCCAAGTCAGTCAAATAGAAAATTTCATTTTTACTCAAAATTAATTGGCTGGCCTGACTTCCAGCTCTAAATAAAGCTCTCCTCCGCTTTTGGACACGGCTGTCTGCAGTACAGGAGCAGACTGGTCTAATTATCAATGTGCAGTGCTTTATATTTTTCGGGGTTCTGTTTTTATTATTAATTCATTAAAAGGTAGCATCAGCCCTGGCCTGTTTGGCTCAGTGGATAGAGCGTTAGCCAACAGACAGAAAGGTCCCGGGTTCGATTCCGGCCCAGGGCACATGCCCAGGTTGGGGCTGGATCCCCAGTACTGGGTGTGCAGGAGGCAGCCGATCAATATCTCTCTCCCTCTCCCTTTCTCTTTGAAATCAATCTATAAAGAGGAAAGCCTAAGCGACCTGCGGACCGGCTGATTGGTGGCTATGACGCACATTGACCAATAGGGGGCAGATGCTCAACACAGGAGCTGCGGAGCTCTGGTGACTTGGCAGCTGAGGTTCTCGGGGGGATCCAGCACCAGAGAGGAGGGAGCCCGATTCCGGGGTGCGTCACCTGAGAACCGCCCTCTCACAATCTGGGACCCCTTGGGGGATGTCGGAGAGCCCCCAGGCCAGGCCGAGGGACCCCACGGGTGCACGAATGCGTGCACTGGGCCAGGCCTCTAGCCCATTGGCTCCCCACTTTGCGTCTGGCTCCTGGCCTCTAGCCCATTGCAGAGGTTGTGGGTCTGGTCCTTACAGAAACTTTCGACTCGATTAGCTAAATCTGTGGTCAGCAAACTTGGTCACATGAGCCACATGCGGCTCTTTGGTCCCTCGAGGGTGGCTCTTCCACAAAATACCACGGCCTGGGCGAGTCTATTTTGAAGAAGTGGTGTTAGAAGAAAATTAAGTTTTAAAAAATGTGGCTCTCAAAGGAAATTTCAGTCGTTGTGCTGTTGATATCTGGCTCTGTGGGCTAATGACTTTGCCGACCACTGAGCTGAATGAAGAGACACGCAGGACCTACTGGCTGTGGCCCCGACATCTGGCGCCCGCCCACCCACCTAATGTCGATTTCCAGTGGAGGCAGCGAATGTCCCCGCTACCACACTGGGCTGGGAGACCGGCCCCGCTTCCCTCCTCCTGGGCGGACAGGAGCGCCAGTGAGCACCCTCCGGGCAGGGAAGGAGGCGAAGGAGCACTCAGGTGGGAAGAAGGAGGTTCCTGGGGCTGAAGGGCCTGGGCAGAAGGGCCTGGACGGAGCCTGGCGTTGAGCAGGGTCCTGCCTTAGGCCGTCAGGTTCCCGGCTCAGTAAATCCCATTCGCTAAATAATTGCACTTTGTAGCCAAATGCCCACGAGTTGTCAGTTACTGCCCAAGTGAGGGTGAAGTGAGATGAATGAAGCGAGACAGACACAGAGAGAAAGTGACTCAGTATTGGGAGGAGGGGGGCAGGAGCCAGGTTCTGGGGCGCCTCACCGAGAACCGCCCTCTTGCAACCCAGGACCCCGGGGAGGAGGGGATCAGAGAGGAGTTTCGGCCCCGTACCCGCAGGCCAGGCAGAGGGACACCCCCACCCCCACCCCAGGGCACAAAACCTCTAGTGTAAATATATATTTTTAAAAGTAGCATCAGGATTCCTGACACACGAGTCCTCGTGGTCACTGCTTCAGAGGCTCCCCTGCCGAGCACTGCTCTGCGTTTGGGAGCAGCTGCCGCGCCAGAAAATTAGTTTTTAAAACATTGAGCTAAACTCAACTCCTGTAACTTTTGGAGGGAATCTGTTTACCTTTCACAGACCAGCCTTCAAACATCGGAGGACAGAGAGGTGGTGTGTTTGCCCCCCTTCGGCCCTCAGGGAATTCTCTCCCCGACCTCGCTTCCTCTGGGCTCGGCCACGGAACACGCTCCTTTTGTGCAATCTGACCCCTGGCCCGGTGCCGTGGCCGGCTTCGGCCTGAGCGGGCAGGGGGGCTGTTCCCGCTCTCTGTGCATTGACGTCTGTTGCCGCTGCCGCCCGCGTGTTCCTGCTGGCAGCTCCCGCCCACTGGGATGCGCTCTAATCTGCAGACAGAAACGCTTGCCTTTGTCACGGGCCACCAGCGGTCAGAGGCGGGGCTGTAAGAACCCCGGTCTGACCTCCTCGCTCTGCTTCTCCCCGCAAAGCACTGCTCCGCCTCCTGGGCCGTCACTCACTCTCCCCTCCTGGCTGCTCCACCAACACCGTGCACACGCATTACCTCACTCTTCCTAAACACAGATATAACCACCTCTCACGGCTGGAAACCTCTGACCCTCACAGTGTGCAGGACATGGGGGTCTTACAAGGCGGGTCCTGTCTCTCTGTCTGTCTGTCTGTTTCACTGCTCACCACTATTGCCATTGGCGCTCTCCCAGCCGCTGGGAGCAGAGCAGGCCTGGTCTGTGCTCACCAGCCTGGTCTGTGCTCACCGGGCTGGTCTGTGCTCACCGGCCTGGTCTGTGCTCACCGGCCTGGTCTGTGCTCACCGGCCTGGTCCGTGCTCAGAGGCCTGGTCTGTGCTCACGAGGCCTGGTCTGTGCTCAGAGGCCTGGTCTGTGCTCACCGGCCTGGTCTGTGCTCAGAGGCCTGGTCTGTGCTCACCGGCCTGGTCTGTGCTCAGAGGCCTGGTCTGTGCTCACGGAGCCTGGTCTGTGCTCAGAGGCCTGGTCTGTGCTCAGAGGCCTGGTCTGTGCTCAGAGGCCTGGTCCGTGCTCACCGGCCTGGTCTGTGCTCAGAGGCCTGGTCTGTGCTCAGAGGCCTGGTCTGTGCTCACCGGCCTGGTCTGTGCTCACCGGCCTGGTCTGTGCTCAGAGGCCTGGTCTGTGCTCATCGGCCTGGTCTGTGCTCAGAGGCCTGGTCTGTGCTCACCGGCCTGGTCTGTGCTCAGAGGCCTGGTCTGTGCTCAGAGGCCTGGTCTGTGCTCAGAGGCCTGGTCTGTGCTCAGAGGCCTGGTTGTGCTCAGAGGTCTGGTCTGTGCTCACCGGCCTGGTCTGTGCTCAGAGGCCTGGTCTGTGCTCAGAGGCCTGGTCTGTGCTCAGAGGCCTGGTCTGTGCTCAGAGGCCTGGTCTGTGCTCAGAGGCCTGGTCTGTGCTCAGAGGCCTGGTCTGTGCTCACGGAGCCTGGTCTCTGCTCACCGGCCTGGTCTGTGCTCACCGGCCTGGTCTGTGCTCAGAGGTCTGGTCTGTGCTCAGAGGCCTGGTCTGTGCTCACCGGCCTGGTCTGTGCTCAGAGGCCTGGTCTGTGCTCACCGGCCTGGTCTGTGCTCACCGGCCTGGTCTGTGCTCACCGGCCTGGTCTGTGCTCAGAGGCCTGGTCTGTGCTCAGAGGCCTGGTCTGTGCTCACCGGCCTGGTCTGTGCTCAGAGGCCTGGTCTGTGCTCACCGGCCTAGTCTGTGCTCAGAGGCCTGGTCTGTGCTCAGAGGCCTGGTCTGTGCTCAGAGGCCTGGTTGGGGGGGGGGGGATGTGCTCCCTGCGGGGCATGGCCTCAGGGCAGGTTGGGGTTCTCCCACCTCCCCACCTCAGCCTCACTGGGCCTGGCTCGGCGATGCGGCTGAGGGAGGGTGCTGGGTGCGCCCGCCCTGCCTCCTCTGGATCGGGGTCTCTGAGGGCAGGCTCGGGGCTGTGCTGCCTCCTCCACGGTCACATCCAGGAGAAACGTTTCGAACGCCGCTCGCTCAGTGGCTCTGGGTCACCGCGCCTCCTCCATGCCCCTCCGTACCTGCTGGGGCATGCGTGCTCCGGAGCACAGGGGCAGTGTACACACATGGACGTGGTGTTTTCAGATTTAGCTCACGACCCTTCCTTCTCTGTCTTCTCCCTCCCTCCTGGCCCGGCCCGCCTCCCAGGCGCCTGCTCCCCGGTGTGCGTGGAGGTGCCCTCGGAGACGGAGGCCGTCCAGGGCAACGCCATGAAGCTGCGCTGCATCTCCTGCATGAAGAGGGAGGAGGTGGAGGCCACCACGGTGGTGGAATGGTTCTACAGGCCCGAGGGCGGAAAAGACTTCCTGGTAGGTTGGCTGCCGCCTCGGCCTTCCCCCACTGGCCTCTGTTCAGTGCGCCTGACCCCTGGGGGTGGGGAGGATGATCTGACAGACACTGGCTCCTTCTCTCCGAGCGCTGCCGGCTCCTCTCCTCCCCAGAGACCGGCGGCCTCAGTTTACCCAGCCTCCGGGCAGGAAGGGCCCCGGGCCAGCCACAAGCCTTCCTGGTCACAGCAGAAGGAGAGGTAACTGGTGCTGAAAGCCGACTGAGTGCGAGTCAGCTGACCGGCACTTTGTAGGTGTTTGTGTTTACCTTCTACACCACATGTGTCAAACACAAGGCCCGAGGGCCAAATCCGTCCCGCCAGGCCTTGCCATGTGGCCCGCACCGCGCTGTCATCACTGCACTCCGCTGCGTTTCCATCACAATGACAGTTTATGACTGTTCAGTAAACCATTCGGCCCGCGATTTAGGCTGGATTTTAGATTTTGGCCCCTTCTCTGATTGAGTTCGACACCCCTATTCTACACCCTCCAGCAGGTGGATTGAATTAGCAGAACAACTGAATCCTGGGCCCCCCTCCTGCGGGGGGCCACGCCCTCTCAGAGGGGAGCAGTCCGAGGCCCCGGCTTTCCGATGCCTCCACACTAACGAAACGTCCTTTCCTGGTCTCTGCACCAAGCGCCATTATGTAAGATAGGAGGCCTGGTGCATGAAATTGTGCGCTTGGTGAGAGGGGCCCCTCAGCCCGGCCGATGCCCTTTTGCAGCCTGGGAGCCCTCGGGGATGTCGGACTGACAGCTTAGGTCCGCTCCCCGGGAGGATGGGCCTAAACTGGCAGTTGGACATGCTTAGAGCTGCTGTGGAGATGGGAGAGGCTCCCACCACGGCCGCTGTGCTCGCCTGGCTCGCCCCTGACCACCAGGGCCAGCTCCTGTGTTGAACGTCTGCCCCTGGTGGTCAGTGCACGTCATAGGACCGGCCGTCCCACTGTTCTGTCGACTTACATATTAGCCTCTTATTATATAGGATAACGTCGGTGAGGCAGCTGTATTAGTCATGAGGCTTCGCGAAGCCTGGGCCTCAGGCTCGACACTGAGCTGCTCTGAGGGCAATGCGGGCAGTCTGGCTGGGAGAGGGGCTGGGCGGCCAGGATGCCACCGGGAAGCAGAGAGCTGCCAGCTGCTGGGCACACACCGGGCGTTCTGCTTTGGGCTGAACTATACCTGCAGTGGTCTCGGAGCTCCTAGTAACATTGTCTCTTCCTTTAGCTCATGATCCCGGTAAAATGGGAATTACAGGGAGGACCGTGGCGGCAGTCACTGTACCCGGTGCAGCCACATCGGGTGAGATATTTCAGTGGTTCTACTCTGGGCCGGACCTCCCAGCCCGAGACGGCAGCATGGTGACAGCAGAGCGGGAGTCTGTGCGGCTGCGGCTGCGCCTGCCCAGGGCAGTGCCGTTCTGACTGGCTGGCGCCAGCGCTGAACGGCTGTCATAGACTTTGAATCCCACCTCGGGAAGGAGCCTCTGTGTCTGGAGCCAGGCGGCCTGCATTTGATTCCTGACTCTCCAGCGTCTTAGTTTCCTGTGTCCTGGGACACACTGTTGACCCTCTCTGTGACTCAGTTTACTCCTCCTTAAAATGGGGCATAAACCATGGAGTTTACTGGGAACCGAGAGCTTTCACTTTTAATGCACTTAGGATAGTTCTAGAAGACAGGAAGCACTCTATAAGGGTTTGCTAAAGAAAGAACCATATACACATATGAATGAGGCAACCGGGCTCAGAAAAGGTAAGGCACAGAAAGCCTCTGTTTGACCAGGCCCCTGACCACAGCCACGCACCCCGTACTGAGGGCCTTGTGTCCCGGGCAGCGTCTCCGCGGCCCGGAGATGGCGATGGCGCAGGCGCGGCCTCTCACCTGCCCTCCGCCCGGCTCTCAGGGCCGACCTCCTTGCCAGCTCCAGGCTGCACGGCCCGTCTGATGGCGTCTGTCCCATCAGGTGCCTGAAGGGGGACAGCAGGCTGCCGGGCTGGGCTCGGGGCCGGCCAGGACGGAGGCCCCTCCGGGTCCGAGAACCTGGCTGCCTTGGCCTCCGGGGCCCCTGGCACTCAGGCCTGGTCCGTGCCAGCTCCCATCCGCTGCCAGGCCTGGCCAAACCGGGGAGGATGAGGCTCAGGAGGAGGAAGGGAACGTTTAAAACTGCGCTGCAGACACAGCGCGATGCGGACAGACACCGTGTGAGGGGCAGTGCTCCGGACCCCGCTGCCCGGCAGCCGGCCGGTGTGCCAGGGAGCCTTGGAATGCGGACAGTGCCACGAGGCATCAGCCTTAACTTTTTAAAATGTATTTTATTTATTTTTTACAGAGAGGAAGGGAGAAGGATAGAGAATTAGAAACACTGATGAGAGAAACACCGATCAGCTGCCTCCTGCACACCCCCCCACTGGGGGGTGGGGGCTGTGCCCGCAACCAAAGTATATGCCCTTGACCGGAATCGAACCCTGGACCTTTCAGTCTGCAGGCCGACGCTCTATCCACTGAGCCAAACCGGTTAGGGCATGGCCTTAACTTTTATTCGCTGTAGCGATTGGAGGGAAGGTAAGAGTCTGCACGTGGCCGGACGCAGGATGGGCAGCACAGCCGCACAGGGAAAAAGGGTGTCCGAGGGGGGGGGTGAGGGGGATTAGAGACCATATTGCAGCTATAATCCAGCCCAAAGCAGAACGCCCGGTGTGTGCACAGCAGCCTCTGCCTCCGGCGGCATTCCGGCCGCCCAGCCCCTCCTGGGCCCGGCCAGACTGCCCGCACCGCCCAGTGGAGCAGCTCAGGGTGGAGCCCAAGGCGGGGCTTTGTGATGCCCCATGACTAATGCACCCGCCTCTCCTGACTGCGGCTCCCGTGCTCTCACTGGCTGCCAGGACACACTGTTTCCACTCCTCCCAGGCCTCGGTTCCTCCCAGCGCCCCCTCCTGGTCCCGGTGCTGTCCGCCTGGGCCCACCTCCCCCTGCTCTCCGCTCCTCCCTCTGACCCCCCACCTGCATTTGGAGCTCTGAGCAGCCATCCCCTTCCTCCTGCGCCTGCAGTTCCTTCTCCTTCCTGCCCTCCCCTCCCCTCGCCCCGCCTCAGCCTCCGCCCCGTCCGCTCAGGCCTGCCCCTGCCCCTCTGCCCGCAGATCTACGAGTACCGGAACGGCCACCAGGCCGTGGAGAGCCCGTTCCAGGGGCGGCTGCAGTGGGACGGCAGCAAGGACCTGCAGGACGTGTCCATCACCGTGCTCAACGTGACCCTCAACGACTCCGGCCTCTACACCTGCAACGTGTCCCGGGAGTTCGAGTTCGAGGCCCACCGCCCCTTTGTGAAGACCACGCGGCTGATCCCCCTGCGCGTCACCGAGGAGGGTGAGCCGGCCCGGGCCCCGGGCCTCCCCGCGGGGAGGAGGTGGCTGCGCACAGGGGCTGTGGAGGTGACGGCGACAGTGTCCCCACGGCCAGCCAGCTCACCTCTGCCTTCCTCGCGGACAGGGCGTGGAGGTGAGGGTGGAAGGTGGAGATGAGAGTGGAGGCGAGAGTGAAAAGTCACCTTCCTAGTCCCTGACCCTCATCCCAAGGGAAAGGAGACGGCCTCTTAGAGGCGCACGCTGCCCACTGAGCCGCACTCCCCCTGTGCCGGACCTGCCTCAGTGGCTCGAGAAAGTTGCCCTCCAGACCAGGAGCGCTCAGCCCAGCGAGCCCAGCACCCCTGCAGGATGGGCAGCCCAGCTTACCAGGGGCCGCAGGCCGGGAGGGCTGCTGGCGGACGGGCTCTGAGACCGCGGCCCTGACCGCCTGGCCGCCTTGTCTTCAGTCTCTGGCACAAACCCTTGGGCACCGCCCCTCCGAGCTCTCCCTGCAGAGCCCCTCTCCGCCGGGAGGAGGGGAAACGCCAAGAGCGCTCGAGTTTTTATGTAGAACCTGCCCGTTAGGGCGGAGTCCTTTCGCCAATCTGACTCCACGTCTGTGCAACTCGTCCAGCGTCGGGATGGGTTTCTCCTGCGTGGTTTGCAGCCTCCTGAGGGGCCTCTGCCGGGCTGCGGTGGCACCTCGGCGGGCTGCGGGCCCGCCCGCCCCGCCCCGCCCTAGGAGCCTGTGCTTTCTCAGCAGGCTCGCTCAGCCTCTCAGCCTCTCTCCCGCCCCGCCCAGCGTTCCCGCTGCCCCAGTGCAGCTGGTGCCCAGGCCAGAGGGTGGCGGGGACAGAAGGGGAGGTCAAATGAGACAGGCCTCTGCCTACAGGCCAGGCTCCCAGCACCAGCTCGCACACTGAGTGTTGTCCTGTTCTGGGATAAAACGTGTGAACAAACTTGAATGCGAATGACACACGCTATTGTTTGGACCGGCAGTCGCCGGCCTTTCCGACCTCACGGACAGTCAGTGGCCCGCGGACCCCCGGCTGGCGGGACCGCTGGTTTGGACACTGTGACACAGGCGGTCAGTCCGCAGGGCAGAGGCGCCTCGGACACTGGATCTAGACGGGGGACCCCGCGCCCTCCCAGCCCGTGTCCCCCAAGCCTGCCCTCCCACCCCGCCTACCTTCCCCCGACCGCCCGCGCCCCCCAGCCCGCGCCCCCAGCCCTGGCCCCTGTGTGCAATGGAGGTGGGTGGAGCTCTCGGAGGAGGTGTTCTGTCCTCCTCTGCACACACTGGTCCTCCCTGGCGCCCTCACCGTCCTCCCCTGGGAATGTTGCCTGGTGACCGACCGGGACCTGGGCCTCTGTCTCCACCTCTGCTCTCGGCTTTGGCCTCCGGAGACCGGCAGCCAGTGGGAAGCACAGCAGGCCGCGCCGAGCCAGTGCCCGCCGGGCAGACAGGCCCGAGTGGGAGCAGGAGGAAAACAAGGCTGCGGTCAGAGCCCGGTGCTCCCGGGATGCCAGCCGCCTGCTTCCTCCCTGAGCCCCCGCTGCGGGGGTGCGGCTGGCCTGCGGGGGTGCGGCTGCTGCGGGGGTGCGGCTGGCCTGCGGGGTGCGGCTGCTGCGGGGGTGCGGCTGGCCTGCGGGGGTGCGGCTGCTGCGGGGGTGCGGCTGGCCTGCGGGGGTGCAGCTGGCCTGCGGGGTGCGGCTGGCCTGTGGGGGCGGAGCCCCTGCTGGGGGGTGCGGCTGGCCTGCGGGGGTGCGGCTGGCCTGTGGGGGTGGAGCCCCTGCTGGGGGGTGCGGCTGGTCTGTGGGGGTGCGGCTGGCCTATGGGGGTGCGGCTGGTCTGCGGGGGTGCGGCTGGCCTGCGGGGGTGCGGCTGGTCTGTGGGGGTGCGGCTGCTGCGGGGGTGTGGCTGGCCTGCGGGGGTGCGGCTGGCCTGCAGGGGTGCGGCTGGCCTGTGGGGGTGGAGCCCCTGCTGGGGGGTGCGGCTGGCCTGCGGGGTGCGGCTGGCCTGGGGGGTGCGGCTGGTCTGTGGGGGTGCGGCTGGCCTGCGGGGTGCGGCTGGCCTGCAGGGGTGCGGCTGGCCTGCGGGGTGCGGCTGGCCTGCGGGGTGGCGGCTGGCCTGCGGGGTGCGGCTGGCCTGCGGGGGTGCGGCTGGCCTGCGGGGTGCGGCTGGCCTGCGGGGGTGCGGCTGGCCTGCGGGGTGCGGCTGGTCTGTGGGGATGCGGCTGGCCTGCGGGGTGCGGCTGGCCTGGGGGGTGCGGCTGGTCTGTGGGGTGCGGCTGGCCTGCGGGGTGCGGCTGGCCTGCGGGGGTGCGGGCTGGCCTGCGGGGTGCGGCTGGCCTGCGGGTGCGGCTGGCCTGCGGGGGTGCGGCTGGCCTGCGGGGTGCGGCTGGCCTGCGGGGTGCGGCTGGCCTGCGGGGTGCGGCTGGCCTGCGGGGGTGCGGCTGGCCTGCGGGGTGCGGCTGGCCTGCGGGGGTGCGGCTGGCCTGCGGGGTGCGGCTGGTCTGTGGGGATGCGGCTGGCCTGCGGGGTGCGGCTGGCCTGGGGGGTGCGGCTGGTCTGTGGGGGTGCGGCTGGCCTGCGGGGGTGCGGCTGGCCTGCGGGGTGCGGCTGGCCTGCGGGGTGCGGCTGGCCTGTGGGGGTGCGGCTGGCCTGCGGGGTGCGGCTGGCCTGCGGGGGTGCGGCTGGCCTGCGGGTGCGGCTGGCCTGCGGGGGTGCGGCTGGCCTGCGGGGTGCGGCTGGTCTGTGGGGATGCGGCTGGCCTGCGGGGTGCGGCTGGCCTGGGGGGTGCGGCTGGTATGTGGGGGTGCGGCTGGCCTGCGGGGTGCGGCTGGCCTGTGGGGGTGCGGCTGGCCTGCGGGGTGCGGCTGGTCTGTGGGGGTGCGGCTGGCCTGCGGGGTGCGGCTGGCCTGTGGGGGTGCGGCTGGCCTGCGGGGTGCGGCTGGCCTGCGGGGGTGCGGCTGGCCTGCGGGGTGCGGCTGGCCTGCGGGGGTGCGGCTGGCCTGCGGGGTGCGGCTGGCCTGCGGGGGTGCGGCTGGCCTGCGGGGTGCGGCTGGTCTGTGGGGATGCGGCTGGCCTGCGGGGTGCGGCTGGCCTGGGGGGTGCGGCTGGTCTGTGGGGGTGCGGCTGGCCTGCGGGGTGCGGCTGGCCTGCGGGGGTGCGGCTGGCCTGCGGGGTGCGGCTGGCCTGCGGGGTGCGGCTGGCCTGTGGGGGTGCGGCTGGCCTGCGGGGTGCGGCTGGCCTGCGGGGGTGCGGCTGGCCTGCGGGGTGCGGCTGGCCTGCGGGGGTGCGGCTGGCCTGCGGGGTGCGGCTGGCCTGCGGGGGTGCGGCTGGCCTGCGGGGTGCGGCTGGTATGTGGGGGTGCGGCTGGCCTGCGGGGTGCGGCTGGCCTGCGGGGGTGCGGCTGGCCTGCGGGGTGCGGCTGGTCTGTGGGGGTGCGGCTGGCCTGCGGGGTGCGGCTGGTCTGTGGGGGTGCGGCTGGCCTGCGGGGTGCGGCTGGCCTGCGGGGTGCGGCTGGCCTGCGGGGTGCGGCTGGCCTGGGGGGTGCGGCTGGTCTGTGGGGGTGCGGCTGGCCTGTGGGGGTGCGGCTGGCCTGCGGGGGTGCGGCTGGCCTGCGGGGGTGCGGCTGGCCTGCGGGGTGCGGCTGGCCTGTGGGGGCGGAGGCCTCCTCCGCCTCCGTTGGTGGAGGGGCAGCTGGGAGAGCAGCGCGGCCGGGCTAATTCGCACCAGGAGCGGGAGGCCGCCAGACCTGTGCCTGGAGGCGGCTCCGTCTCCAGGGCGTCTTCCCCCTCTTCCCCCCACTTCCTGCCACGGCTTCTGTCTTCTCGGTGACCCCGTGGCCGGCAGCACCCTCCCCCTCGGCACAGGCTCTCGGATTGCCCAGAGCCCTCACTCTGCCGCGGCACCCCCACTCCTCCGTTCCTGGGCCCCAGCGACGCTTCCTCCTGCTCTGTTCACTCTGGACTTCCGCTGGCGCCTCCTCTGGGCGCGGGGACAGACCCGAGGCCTTCGAGGACGGAAACACGGGATGGAAACACGGGATGGAAACACGGAACGGAAACACGGGATGGAAACACGGAACGGGAACACGGGACGGAAACTCGGGATGGAAACACGGAACGGAAACACGGGACGGAAACACGGGACGGAAACACGGGACGGAAACACGGGACGGAAACACGGGATGGAAACACGAAACGGAAACACGGGACGGAAACTCGGGATGAAAACACGGGACAGAAACACGGGACGGAAACACGGGACGGAAACACGGGATGGAAACACGAAACGGAAACACGGGACGGAAACTCGGGATGAAAACACAGGACAGGAACACGGAACGGAAACACAGGACAGGAACACGGGACAGAAACACAGGATGGAAACACGGGATGGAAACACGGGATGGAAACACGGAACGGAAACACGGGACGGAAACACGGGATGGTAACACGGGATGGAAACATGGGACAGAAACACGGACGGAAACACGGGACGGAAACACGGGATGGAAACACGGGATGGAAACACGGAACGGAAACACGGGATGAAAACACGGGACGGAAACACGGGACGGGAACACGGAACGGAAACACGGGATGGAAACACGGGACGGAAACTCGGGATGAAAAACGGGACGGAAACACGGGACGGGAACACGGAACGGAAACACGGGATGGAAACACGGGACGGAAACTCGGGATGAAAACACGGGACGGAAACACGGGACGGGAACACGGAACGGAAACACGGGATGGAAACACGGGATGGAAACACGGAACGGAAACATGGGACGGAAACTCGGGATGGAAACACGGGACGGAAACACGGGACGGAAACACGGGATGGAAACACGGGATGGAAACATGGGACGGAAACACGGACGGAAACACGGAACGGAAACACAGGACAGAAACACGGAACGGGAACACGGGATGAAAACATGGAACGGAAACATGGGACGGAAACACAGGACAGGAACACGGGACGGAAACACAGGACAGAAACACGGGACGGAAACACGGGACGGAAACACAGGACAGAAACATGGGATGGAAACATGAAACGGAAACACGGGATGAAAACACGGGACAGAAACATGGAATGGGAACATGGGACAGAAACACGGAACGGAAACACGGGACGGAAACACAGGACAGGAACATGGGACGGAAACATGGAATGGAAACATGAAACGGAAACACGGGACGAAAACACGGAACCGAAACACGGGACAGAAACAAGGAACGGAAACACGGGACAGCTGTGCTGCTGCTTCTGGGCTGGATTTAAAGGACACGCGTGCTTCAGGCTGCGCACACCGCCGGGGGCACAGCAGCCTCTGAGGAGAGCCGGCAGCTCCGGCCTCGGCTGCACCGGTGACCGGGTGACCGGGTGACCGGCCCGGCTGCTCCGCGGAGCCCAGGCCGAGGTGGCTCTGTGCGGAGCGGGCTGCAGGGTGCGGCCTCAGGAGCCGGTGGGAGCTGGCGAGGAAACGGCTGGACCTTCCTTCCACCAGGAAGGAATGCGTGTCAGGACATTTACTTCTCATCGTCATTGGTCACGAAACAACGGAGACCAGTATTTACACTCATTCGTCCAGCAAACACTTACGGGGAGTTCTGAGTGTTCTAGGCTAGAAAGCCCGTGCTGGTTGGGAAGTGACAGGACCTGAGTGCAGTGAGCAGAGCAGACAAAGCCCGCGAACCAGGGAGAAGAGCACAGAGGACGGAGGGCCACGGCCCGCCCGCCCGAGGGAGGATGCGGAGACGCTGGGGCCGCAGGGAGGAGGGGCTCCGTGGGGTCCGGAGGGATGGCTGGGCCTGGACCGCAGAGGGAGCCTGGGACGGAGGAGCAGTGGGACGACAGACCCAATCCGGGAAGCGGGAAGGGGAAGAGGGAATGTCTGCCGCCCCCAAAGGCCCTGGCGTTTGAGCAGGGAGCTTTGGAGGAGAAGGCTGGGCGGGGCGTGGCCTTGTGAGCGCCCTGAGGAGAGGCGGCTCCTCAGAGGCGGCATGGCGCGGGAAGGAAGGGGTTAAACGGGAATGCCGGGCCCAGGCCTGCGCCTCAGAAGCAGAGCTGGAGGACGTGTGGCTCACACAGGGCCTCCCACTCATTCCGATGAGCCGAGCCCCATGCGAACACGCCCGGCCCCGGCCGCTGGCTCCGGCCTCACGTGTCTCCGATGCCCTCTCCCTAGGTACCCACCCCCCCACCTCCCACCCAACCCCCGAGGCATGGAGGCATGAGGCTGAGCTCACGTAGCACCCACGCCTGCAGACATTTAAATGCCACAGATATTCTCAAAGGCGTTAGGTGAAGTCATCATCACGTTGCAGGTTAAGAAACCGAGTTTCAAATGCGGGAGATGACACAGCAGCAAGTAGCAAAGCCAGGGCCTCACCATGTGTATGCCACTCAGTCTCAGGATTCCCTCCCCCCTCCTCCTTCTGCCTCCCCCTCCTCCCTCCCCCCTCCTCATTCTGCCTCCCTCTCCCCTCCTCCTTCTGCCTCCCCCTCCTCCCTCCCCCTCCTCATTCTGCCTCCCTCTCCCCTCCTCCTTCTGCCTCTGTCCTCCTACCTCCCACCTCCTCCCCTGCCTCCCCCCTCCCTTCTCCTTCTGCCTCCCCCTCCTCCCTCCCCCCTTCTCCTTCTGCCTCCGTCCTCCTACCTCCCACCTCCTCCCCTGCCTTCCCCTCCCTCCTCCTTCTGCCTCTCCCTCCTCCCTCCCCCCTCCACCTTCTGCCTCCCCCCTCCCCCCTCCTCCCTCTCCCCTCCTCCTTCTGCCTCCCCCTTCTCCCCTCTCCTCCTTCTACCTCCCCCCTCCTCCCTCCCTCCTACACCTTCTGCCTCCCCCCTCCTCCCTCTCCCCTCCTCCTTCTGCCTCCCCCCTCCTCCCTCTCCCGCCTCCCTCCTGCCTCCCCCTCCTCCCTCTCCCCTCCTCCTTCTGCCTCCCCCCTCCTCCCTCTCCTCTCCTCCTTCTGCCTCCCCCCTTCTCCCCTCTCCTCCTTCTACCTCCCCCCTCCTACCTCCCCCCTCCACCTTCTGCCTTCCCCCTCCTCCTTCTCCCCTCCTCCTTCTGCCTCCCCCACCACCCTCCCCCCCCCACTCCTTCTGCCTGCCCCCTCCTCCCTCTCCCCTCCTCCTTCTGCCTCCCCCCTTCTCCCCTCTCCTCCTTCTACCTCCCCCCTCCTCCCTCCCCCCTCCTCTTTCTCAATCCCCCTCCTCCATCCCCCTCCTCCTTCTGCCTCCCTCCTCCTCCCTCTCCCCTCCTCCTTCTGCGTCCCCCCTCCTCCCTTTCCCCTTTTCCTTCTGCCTCCCCCTCCCCCCTCCCCCCTCGACCTTCTACCTCCCCCCTCCTCCCTCTCCCCTCCTCCTTTTGCCTCCCCCCTTTTCCCCCTCCTCCTTCTGCCTCCCCCTTCCCCCTCCCTCCTCTTTCTGCCTCCCCCTCCTCCTCTGCCTCCCCCTCCTCCCTCCCCCTCCTCCTTCTGCCTCCCTCCTCCTCCCCTCCCTCCCTCCGGACATCTGGTGAAAGCCAGTCAGGAAGCCATCAGACAGGACGGTCCTTTGACATCCCGTTGAGCCCCTGGAGGCCCAGTGTGTGTAAGCCACACCACACCGGCTTCTCACGCCCGGCCCCGCTGGCGCTGGGTTTGCTACGCGCGCTCTGAGCCCTGCTCTCTCTCCTCTTGCAGCTGGAGAGGACTTCACCTCCGTCGTCTCAGAGATCATGATGTACATCCTCCTGGTCTTCCTCACGCTGTGGCTGCTCATCGAGATGATCTACTGCTACCGGAAGGTCTCCAAGGCTGAGGAGGCCGCCCAGGAGAGCGCGTAAGCCCTCCCCGAGCGCCCCAGGGTGCTGGCTCCTGCAGGCGCGGGCTCTCCAGGCGAAATGCTGAGCAAGCAACAGTCGCCTGCCTTTCTCACAGCAGCCTGTGAGGGGTCTCACAGTCGCCTGCCTTTCTCACAGCAGCCTGTGAGGGGTCTCACAGTCGCCTGCCTTTCTCACAGCAGCCTGTGAGTGTGTCCATTTTACAGATGAGAACACTGAGGCTGGGGGAGTTTGCCCAAGGGAAAGCAAGGCTTGGATGCAGGCCTGCTACCTCTTGGCCTGTACTCTTTGCCCCTAATGGGAAGCTCACCAGCTGCCCCCTCAGTCCCAAGAGTTAGCATTCTTACGCCCATTTCACAGGTGCTGGGACAGGCGCAGAAGGTAAGCGGCTCGCGGGGCCACACAGACAGCGAGGAGAGCCTGGGCTCGGAGCCCGAGCCTCTCCATTCCTAATGGCCAGGCTCCTCCCGGCAGGGCTGTTTGCTCATCGGGCGCCTGGGCCGAGTGCTCCCTCCAAGCAGCATGCTCTCCCCGCAGCGGGGAGCGGGGCACGGTTAGAACCTCAGCAGGGCTGTTCTCCGAGGCCAGCCGCCCTGGCCATGTTTGCCACGGCCGCCCCCCCCCCTCCCGGCACCGAGGAGCGGGCACAGTGAGGAATGCTGGGCTGAGGGGTGGGGACCGGGCTGGCCTGTATTTGGGGCTAGCATTGCTGAGGCCCCGGAAAATGAAGCATCGTTTGCATGACGCTATGACCTTAGAGGGGAAGATGGCGCCTGACCCGATGTGAGACAGACAGAACGGCGTGTGGGAAGGCCGCCGAGCCTGGCGACGTGGGGCTCGCAGGCAGCGCTGGGCAGGGAGTTCCCGCGTGGGCTGAAGGGCCCCCAGGAGGCCCCGGGAGAGCCAGGAGCCGCAGGGAGCCCGCGCTGCACACACACAGGCCCGAGACCATCGGGCCCCAGCCCGGAGGAGCCCACCAAGCACATCCTTCTGGCCTGACTCTAGTAGGAAGACATCAAAGATTCTAGAGTAGGGGTGTCGAACTCAATCAGAGAAGGGGCCAAAATCTAAAATCCAGCCTAAATCGCGGGCCGAATGGTTTACTGAACAGTCATAAACTGTCATTGTGATGGAAACGCAGCGGAGTGCAGTGATGACAGCGCGGTGCGGGCCACATTGCAAGGCCTGGCGGGACGGATTTGGCCCGCGGGCCTTGTGTTTGACACATGTGGGATAGAGAATTCGTAGCCACAAGCCTGCCTTCACAATGTGTGGGAGTTACACTCACACTCCCCACATGATCCAGGAGCCGCCACGCTGAGAGATCCCCTAATTAACCACCAGAGCAGCCCCGCCGTGAGGACTGAGCTGAAGCAGCGAAGACCTTTCTGCAGGGAGCGCCCTGGCTGAGGTTATCCGTCCCCGGAGAGCCAACCAGCAAGGAACGTCAGACACAGGAGACCTGAGAGAATAGGGAAATGGTTTGTTTAAAAGAGGGGAAGCAGTAAAGGGAGGAACCCAGAGCATAGAACAGAGTAAGTTGCTAAGAAAAAGGAGCAGGCAGATTGAAGAGGAATTTTATTTTATTTTATTTAAAAAATATATTTTTTATTGATTTTTTACAGGGAGGAAGAGAGAGGGATAGAGAGCTAGAAACGTCAATGAGAGAGAAACATCGACCCGCTGCCTCTTGCACACCCCCTACCGGGGATGTGCCCGCAACCAATGTACATGCCCTTGACTGGAATCGAACCCGGGACCTTTCAGTCCACAGACCGACGCTCTACTGCTGAGCCAAACCGGGTTGGCTGAAGAGGAATTTTAAAAGTTGGAAATGAAAACCTGGGTCTGAGCTGCAAGGCGGCGTGTGGAGGGCGCAGCACAGGACGCAGACTCCCGTCCCACGACACTCACTCACAGACACGCGGGGCTGGATGGACGGCTCCGATCGGCAGCCGCGAGCAAGAGGCCGGGGGGCCGGGGAGTCCGAGGGCCCTGTGAGCGCCACTGTTTACACCGCCCTCGCTTCCTTCGGGGTGAGTGCCATGGGTGCGGTGTCCGCCTGCGAGTCCGCTGCCTCTGACGGAGGAGAGGCAGGACCTCCTGGGCTCCCCTCGGCACCTGCCTCCACCGGAGCCGCCCAGCTCAGCAGGCGGCGCTCCCGGCAGCTGCAGCGCTGCCTGGCCCGGCGGGCTCCCTAGGCCCGGGCTCATGACACCCGGAGAGAGGCGGCTTCTACACAGAAACACGGAAAGGCTGACAGCCCCTGGGAGTGGGGGAGCTGCTGGGACTGGTCAGAGGTGCCTGTGCGTACACCCCTCCACCTCTCCTGTGTGGGCGAGGGCGCTGTCCAGGTCTGGCCTGCCTGCAAGGTCGCTGCAGTGCATCCTGGGACATATCACTGGAGCCTGTTGAGGAAGCAAGTAGGACCAACAAGGCCCCCGCACCAAGAGCCACGCTGGCTCAGCCAGACCAGCGCCCGGATGCTTCACGCACCCGATTAGCTCCTCCCTGCCTGGCAAAACCACCGGCACACGCAGGCTGACCAGAGGCCGACTTCTCTATAAGCTCGCTTTTCAAGACGGGAGAGAGAGCGAGTTTGTCTAATTCGTATACACAAACATAGAAAGTCAAACAAAATGAAAAGACAGAAGAATACTACATCTCTCAGATGAAGGAACAAGAAACATTCCCAGAAAGAAACGCCAAGGAAGCAGAGATAAGTCCTCCGATAAAGAATTCAAAGAAATGCTTGACAGTGGACTAGAACAGCGGTCGGCAAACTGAGTAGTCAGCAGAGCCAAATATCAACAGTACGACGATTGAAACGTCTTTAGAGAGCCTAATTTTTTAAACTTAAACTTCTAATGCCACTTCTTCAAGACAGACTCCCCAGGCCGTGGTATTTTGTGGAAGAGCCACACTCAAGGGGCCAAAGGGGCTTCGCAGGCGACACAGAGTCTCTCCCAATAGTGTTTTTTGTTTTGTTTCTTTGCTTGCAGCCCTTTAAACAAGTAACCACCTCTCTTAGCCCCTTTAGTCTGCTGATTCTAAAGGAATGGGGGAGGTGGCTGGCAGTTCTCCTGTCAGAGTGAGGCTTGCTGAGGACACTGTCAGAGCAAAGGGTCTGACACTGCCCTGGGCACCTCGTGGACAAGCAGGACAACAGGACAGCCCCGAAGGTTACTCCGTACACAAACCAGCATGTGGCAGAGGCCATGCAGCCGCTGAAGGAGGAGCGGGCTGTCCGGCCGGTGGATGGGGACAATTCCTTGTTCATATGGAAAAAAACAGGAGGGATTCTCCATCCCTCACAGGAACCAACAATAAACCGTGAGTGGATTTAAAGACAAGGTAAAGTGCAAAACTTGAAAATTCTATTAAGGGCATTTAAAAAAATATCTTTATGCCCTGGCTGGTTTGGCTCAGTGGATAGAGCGTCAGTCTGCAGACCGAAGGGTTCCAGGTTCAATTCCAGTCAAGGGCACATGCCCAGGTTGTGGATTCGAACCTCAGTGGGGGGCATGCAGGAGGCAGCCAATCAGTGATTCTCACTCATCATCGATGTTTCTTTCTCTCCCCCTCCCTTCCTCTCTGAAATCAATAAAAATATATAAAAAATACCTTTAGTACCTTGGAAGAGGATTTCTTTAAACACAAAGGAAAATGATAATTGTGATTATATTATATACAGAGGTGGACAAAAGTAGGTTAATAACAATAAAAATACAATAATTAATAGATAATAATACAAGAATGAACTCTGACTTGCATACTCACAATTGTAAGCCTACTTTTGCCCATCCCTGTATGTCAACATTAATTTTTAATTATAAGAATCCAAAAGCAAAGTTTAGAGACAAACAGACTGGAAGAAGCCAATTTCAAGATATGAAATCAAAGAGAAAAAGACAAATATCTCAAAAGAAAAATGAGGAAAACAAATGAACAAATTACAAAAGTAAAAACCAAAAGCACCTATAATTATGCAAAGACTAGAGGCCTGGGGCATGGAAATCTGTGCAATGGAGCCGGGTATCCCTCAGCCCAGCCTGTGCCCTCCTGAGGCCCAGGAGCCCTTGGGGATGTCCAACTGATGGTTTAGGCCCACAATCCACACCAGCGGGCTGGTCCGGGGAGGGGAGGGCGCTGGCTGGTGAACAGCTGGCTCTCCCGCCGCCCCTCCCCCGCCATCCCCAATTGCCCTTCCGCTCCTGCCTGTCCTGGCTGCCTCTGGATCACTGTCCTCTCCCTCTGCCCGCTGGTGTCTGCCTTGGCTGGCCTGGCACCACCCGCTTGCCGGTCCTTCCCGCTCCCCGCCCCCCAACAACAGTCATTCTGCTGTTTAGTGATTTGCATATTAGGCTTTTATTATATAGGATGCTCCACTTCGCCAGTGATCAAGAAAGTGAAAATTAAAGCATCTCTAAGATATAATTTCACACCCATCAGTTCAGCCAGCATTTTAATCTAACAATACTGAGTCCTGAGAGCAGTGGGACGAATGAGAGGGTTGCTGGGAGAGCGGATAGCAAACAAACAGACGCTGCTATTGTTCTGGCCCCGGGAAGGCCCTCCTCGTTTCCTGTTGGACCCGCGGAGGATGTGCAGAGCTCTGTGCGGGCATCCTTGCTTCTTCCCTTTTCTTGCTTTCCCGCCTCTGGGTACAAAAGTGCTGATTCTCTTCCCCCATCTGTCCTCCTACAGGTCCGACTACCTTGCCATCCCATCAGAGAACAAGGAGAACCCGGTGGTGCCAGTAGAGGAATAGAGGGCTGAGGTTCGAGGTGATGCAGAGGAAAGCGAAGGGGAAGGTGGATAAGGATGGCAGATTGTACCGTGACTTTAAACTTGGGCCCTTGGATTAATTTGTTCCCTACCCAAGTCCCGCCCTCAGGATACTGCTTTCAGTTGATGCCCAGCCCGTAAGCTCTGTGTGATGCCGAGCCTTCAGAGGGAAATTGCTTTGGCTGGGTGTGGGGGCCACGTGAGCTCCTCCCCCAAGTGACGAAGGCACAGTGGCCTCCCGCCCCCTCCTCGTGAGGACTGTGCGCTTGGTCAGGGTCTGTGTGTGGCCGGCGGAGTTGTGCTGCCATTGACGGGTGATCTGAGCACTGAGGCGCTGGAGCCCCGGTTCAGTGATGTCACAGCATCAGGAGGTGCCCCGGGGGCCACACCGCTCCCCTCCCCATGGCCTCCTAACTCCATCCGACCTCTACACAGCATCAGACTTTACCAGAGCCGAGGAGCCACCATCTCGACACAGACTCAACCTCACCCCAGCCTGGCGTCCACACAGCAGTACCCATGCCAACCGGACTCCTCCCCTGTGCGCCCAACAACTCTGAACAAGTGCTGGAGGCAGCACCGCCCTGCGCCCGTGACTGTGGAGCTGGCTCCCTGTGGAGGCTGTCTTGGTGGAAGGAAGCGAGGGACCAGCTGAGGATGTCACGAGGTGGGATTTTCTGAAGCCCGTTTTCCAAGGTCTTGGCCCCCTTGCCCAGAGCATCAGAGCCAAGCGTGCTCCTCTGGGTTCTCCAGCGACGGGAAGTTCCTGAGCAAGGAGAGGAAGTTCCCCGGGGCTCCGTACTGCAGGGCTAGAACCCTTAGGTGTCCAAGGCCCGGCTTGGACTCAGTCCTTCAAGAAGCCAAGGACAAGAGCCTTGGGAGAGACTCAGCAATTTAAATGGCTTTTCAAAGTCACACAAAACGTTCATGATCCTATTGGTACGTATGCCCTCCGCCTCAGGCTGCCACGCCCCCACGTCCAGCCTCCACGCCCAGCGAGCACACACCAGAGACAGCTGGAGCGATCACTGTCCTGTGGGCACTGGAACTGAAACCCTGCAGTCCTTCCTCTCCACGTGCTCCTGGACAGTTTCCTCACCCTGCAGAGGCCGTGAGGCTCGGACAGGGCTCAGCTCCATTGGATTCCAGAGGACACTGGGCGGAGTCAGCCTCAGGCCCTCCCTGCCCAGCTTCCCGAGATGGGCCCTTGTCCTTGAGAAGACTGACACTGAGATTGGCTACGACCATGTCCCTCTCACAAGCACTGACGGTGGGCTGCCCTGCGGAGGGTAACTGATCTGGCAGCCGGAAGTTGGCGGAGAAGCAGAGGGAAAGGCGGGAACAGTCTCGCAGAATCTCCTTCCGGAAGGGGAAGGAGTGTGAGTCTGAGCCTCGGGCAGCGGAATGCCTCCTGGATGATCCCTGAGAAGCATGGACCATCAGCAGATGAGTGAAGGGATGGGCGGCTCCCAATAATTCCCCTGGGAATATAGAATAGCCAGGGTTCCCCCTAGGTTTTGGGAGCGCTGATGAGCACTGGCTGCATTTTAGTCAAAATCTCATGTTGCATTTTAGTGGAGGGCTTGGTCCCAGTGTGAGTCCCTCAGCATCCTGTGGGGAGCGGGAGGCGCTCTGTGAGACGGGATGGACGTGCTGGGACGCGGGAGTGAGATGGCTCTCGGATCCGGAGGGATTTATGGAGAGAGATCAGACTCCATTGGCTTTGGGCCTCACCTGACAAACTCACGCTTTTCATTTCTTCCGTCTGGGGGAAGTGCTGACCATAAGTCTTAGTTCACGTCCTGAAGAAGACACGTTCAATCAATGCCAGGCGCTTCTCCCTGGCAGGTGCCCACAGTCTCCCTGGAATGTGGGTTACTGCACAGCGAGGAGAGCGGCCGGGGCGCAGGCCTGGGTAGCCACAGTGGTGTGAAGCCAGCCCCCCAGCTGACGTCTGACCGCGGAGCACGCATGGCGGCCGCTCTTTCCTTTTAAGAACAAACCCCCGTGTCTCCCGAGTGGTTTTGAATGGAGCTGAATGTCACTGTTGTGTTTTTCCTTAGGTGCCCTTTCTAAGTAAGCCTCCCCCGTTTTGTCTTCTAACCTCTCAGCTTTCATCCGAGCGTTTGTTTTCATGTCGATTATCCTGTTCCTTCTCCACAACCAGCCCCGCGGGGTCCATGTTACTGACGCGCCTGCTGTAAGTGAAGAAACGGAGGCCGACGCCGAGGCGCCACACACCAGCTCCCACAGCTGGGGAGGGGCCTGGACCCCGGTCCTCCCACTGAGCTCGCAGCTGCTTCCCCCCCCCCCCCCCCCTCTCATTGGTTAACTTCCGGCTCCTCCTGGCCGCTCCTGCTGTCCCCTCACCCTCAACCCGACGGCTCCTCCTCCACGGAGCCCCGGCAGAGGCTAGACGTGCGTGAAGGGCCCCTCACTTGGGTTTTACCTTCCCAGTCAGTGTGCGAGTCACTGTTTCTCCTGAGCTGCCGTTCGCCTCCACCCCGGAGACCCGCGGGCACTGAGATCACCAGCCTCCACCCGCCACCATCCCCACACGTCCCCACAGGCCGGGCGGAGCGGCCGTCGCTGTGGGCTCCCGCTAAGGGCTCGGAGACGCTGTCAAGGGCTATTACCCCTCAGGAGCCCGGCCGGCCGGCGGCCTTGGTGCTGGGCACCTCCCACGACTGGTCCTCAACAACTCACTCCAGGCCGGCTCTCATGTCCCCTTTCCGCTGCAGAACAGCCATGAACTTGATTGCTCAACTCACGTGGCCCCCTAAGCACTTTGACCCACTGACCTTGACGTTCACTGTTGGCTCTGTCCTGTGCATCACAGCCCAGCTCCCCTGCGGAAGGACTTCCCAGTCAGTGCCTGTCCCGATGCAGCCTTCACGTCCAGTCTGCTTCAAAGCACATTCTTTATCGTCTCCCTGCCCCTAAGCACTCACACACCCGGACTTCTGATTCGCTGACATCCCGGGTTCCTTAGATGCAAACTAGAAATGTTAGTAGGAAAGGAATTTTTCTTTAAAAAATTTTTAAAAATCGATTTCAGAGAAGAGGGGAGAGGGAGATAGACACATCAATGATGAAAATCATTGATCAGCTGCCTCCTGCACGCCCCACACTGGGGATCCAACCTGCAACCTGGGCATGTGCCCCGACTGGGAATCGAACCGTGACCTCCTGGTTGATAGGTCAACGCTCAACCACTGAGCCATGCTGGCTGGGCAGAAAGGGATTTTTCAAAGCGGGAATACGCTGGAAATATGTTCAGAACAGCGAATGGCTACGAGACATAGTTTCTCCCCAGCGCTACCAGACCGAAAGGAAAAATCCAGCCGTCTCGCGACCTGTGAGCCCACCTGAGTGACGCATAGGGCACGGCGAGGCCACTGCTTCTCTGCAGAAACAGCAGCAAGAGCTGGACCCATCTCAGATACCCTATCTTGTTCCCCTTCCTCAAGTTCACACAGAAATGGAAAGAGAACCGAAGCCGGTTTGGCTCAATAGTAGAGCGTCGGTCTGCGGACTGGAAGGTCCCAGGTTCGATTCCGGTTAAGGGCATGTACATTGGTTGCGGGCACATCCCCAGTAGGGGGTGTGCAGGAGGCAGCCGGTTGATGTTTCTCTCTCATCAACGTTTCTAGCTCTCTATCCCTCTCCCTTCCTCTCTGTGGAAAATCAATAAAATATATTTAAAAAAAAGAAGAAAGAAATGGAAAGAGAAAACCAAACAAGCCTCCTTTCCCACCTTTTGTGAAGGAAAGATCCCTAATGGAGTGGATTCAGCTGGTCAGACCTATGGGAACAGCAATCCGTGTGCTCATTGCTCTGATCATCCATCCACTCTACACCTTGGCACCCACCGTGGCTAGCCCCGATCTAGACCCCCATGGTCTCAGGTCCGAAAAAGTTCTCATCCAAGACTTTGCTAATCTCTCAAACTCTGTGGTAGGGACTCGTGCTCAGCTCCCCCCTCACCCGAGTGCATAGTGGGGCCCCGCAGACCAACCCCTCAGTGGTCTGCCTTGTAGGTGAGACTCCGTCCCTCCCACAGGCCTGAGCCAGCAGCCACTCTCCTCCCGCCTGCCTCCGGGCAGTGCGCACGCTGGGGGAGCTGCGGGGCGGGGGCTCGGTGCCTGAGACACCACCAAACGCCGTTAGCAAACCACGTCTGACAACCGACGGAACTCTGCGCACTGCCACCTTCTCGTTGCTGCTGCTTGATTTCCCACAGCCACCTTTTCCCGAACTCCAGGAACGTGGTTCCTGACCACCACGCCTTCCACAACGCGTGGCTGTTCTGCAGCGTTTCCCAGCGAAAGCCCCTGTTCGCGCCAATAAAGTGGCTGTGGACTCTGCCGGCTGGTTTTACTGAGTGAGTACGGCAGGTGTGCGTGTGAAGCATCCTGGGTTCTGCACCCCCCCCCCCATGCCCATTCCTTACCTCACCACGTGGCCGTGTGCCACGGAACAGGAGGTGCGTGGTCCAGAATTAGACGCGCGGTGGTGTGTGGCCCAGCCTCTCCGCTCCCTCCTTCCCCACCCAAACGCAACGGAATCCCAGCCACGCGTGTCCTCACCTGCCGGCGGCAAACAGGTCTCCCACCAGGTGGCAGAGGGCCACGGGCGATGAGGACCCCGAGAGGGAGCGAGGCCGCAGCGCCCGGCCGGCCCCCAGCCCCGTCTTCCAGGAAGTGCCAGGGCCCCGAAAGGGAGACGCACCAGAAACTGTCACCAGGACTCAGCCGACCACAGTCTCCGACAAGCTCAAAAGCACCGAGTGACAGGGAAATGTCCTTGTGTGGCACCAGCCCCTACACACACACACACACACACACACACACACACCCTGTATTCCTCTAAAACCAGGGGCTCAGGGCCACACAGCTGGCACGCAGGGAGAACGCCATTTGCACTCAGGTCTGATTCCCAACCTTCCTGCCGACGCGGGGAGGAGTCCCAGGCGCCTGGGGAGGGCTGCCTGTGTCAGTGTGACATGTATGTGTGCCAGTGTGACACGTGTGACATGTCAGTGTGATGCGTGTCAGTGTGACGTGTGATGTGTCTGTGACATGTGTGATGTGTCAGTGTAATGTGTGTGATGTGTGTCAGTGTGATGTGTCAGTGTGATGTGTGTCAGTGTGACATGTGTGTGATGTGTCAGTGTGATGCGTGTGTGATATGTCAGTGCATGTGTGATGTGTGTCAGTGTGACGTGTGTCAGTGACGTGTGATGTGCCAGTGTGACATGTGCGTCAATGCGACACGTGTGTTGTGTCAGTGACACGTGTGATATGTCAGTCTGACCTGTGTGTGATATGTGTCAGTGTGATGTGTATGTGTGACGTGTGTCAGTGTGACACGTGTGTGATATGTCAGTGTGACGTGTGATAGTGTGACATGTGTTGGGTGTCAGTGACACGTGATATGCGTGTCAGTGTGACGTGTGTGATATGTGTCAGTGTGATGTGTGTGATGTGTCAGTGTGACTTGTGTGTGATGTGTGTGTCAGTGTGACACGTGTGTTGTGTCAGTGACACGTGATATGTGTCAGTGTGACATGTGCTATGTGTGTCAGTGTGACGTGTGTGACGTGTGTGACATGTGTCAGTGTGACGTGTGTGTCAGTGTGACAAGTTAGTGTGACACGTGTGTTGTCAGTGACACGTGTGATATGCGTGTCAGTGTGATGTCAGTGTGATGTGTGTGATATGTGTCAGTGTGATGTGTGTGTGATATGTGTATCAGTGTGACGTGTGATATGTGTCAGTGTGATACGTGTTGTGTCAGTGACACGATATGCGTGTCAGTGTGACGTGTGATATGTCAATGTGATGTGTGTGATGTCAGTGTGATGCGTGTGTTATATGTGTGTCAGTGTGATGTGTGTGTGATGTGTCAGTGTGATGTGTGTGATATGTGTATCACTGTGACGTGTGATATGTCAGTGTGATATGTGTCAGTGTGATGAGTGTGTGATGTGTCAGTGTGATGTGTGTCAGTGTGATGTGTGTGATATGTGTGCCAGTGTGACGTGTGTGTGTGTGATGTGTGTGTGTGTGTGTGTGACATGTGTGTGTGCCCACACAGATGCCTGACCGCCGCTGGGAAGACCAAAACCACTGGGACGCTGAGGCCAATGAACGAGCAATAACCACACAGCGTGGGCATTTGCAGCTCAGAACTTTTAATCCGTACAGACTCCCGCGGCTCTAGCTCCTTTACAGTGCGGTTTGGCTGGAAGCCTCGTACGGTTCAGACCTCGCGCACAGCGCCAGGCCAAGTGCAGTCACAGACCCCAACATGGCGGCCAGACACTCGCTGCCGCCCGGCCCAGCGCGGCTGGCTCCCCCCCTGCCTCCCTGACTCCCCCGCATCACACGCTCCAGGCCGCAGCCTCTGCCCCTCCCTCCTTTGGAATCTGGGTTGAGTGGGGTCCTGGAAGCTGGGGGGTGGGGGGAGCACCATGGGTTTGGGAAGATGACCGCGTCCATGCAGAGCAGCTGGCTCTGGAGTGTGGGAGGAGACGTGTGGAGCCTCACACCACTGTTGGCAAAAACAGTTGCTCCTACTCACAACCTCAGCACGTGGCACCACACCAGGGCCAGCCGACGGCGCTGTCCTGCCTGAAGCAGTGGCCGCCAGCTGGCTGCCGAGGGTCTTGCCATGCTGGGAGGCGAGGAGGGCCCAGGGAAGAGCCAACCACGCTCCCTGTGCCTCCACGTGTCGGCCCATCATCTGGCATCAGCTCGTCTCGGCAGGCAAGGCGCTTCTCACCAGCAGCCATGGCTCCCCCCGCCCCCCAGGCCTGCCGAGGTCTCCGG